CCTTCCCTCAGTTTCCCTCCCCTCTCTCCCTCAGCAAGCTATATTTACGTACTTTTCCTTTTGCCGCATTGCACGTCTGAAACGGTGCTCGCGCATGCGCAACATCTCCCGAGAAAAAGAATATTTGGCAAACATTACAAATTTAAAATGAAGAGGGGTTATCTAACATAGATCTATATGATAACATTGTATAAGTAGAACTCACTTCAGAAATAGGAAGCAGACATTGCATGTAAGGTCCCCGCTGCATATACCAGTCAGTTCATAACCTGACTACGTTACTGTGTTAGCGCATGCGCAATATCTCACCAGAGGAGTTATATTTTGTGATGAAAACGCATTTAGTATGGTCAGGGGGTATCTGAACATAGGTTTCTGTAATAAATTTTTATCAGTAGACCTGTGTTTATAGTTAGGAGAGTGCCCTAGCTTGTAGGGTGCAAAACTCCTACTTTATCCCCGCCCGCCCTTCCCCTTGAACCCACCTCATTAAAGGGGGTTCAGTCAGATATAGCATGGTTAAAGCATATATACAAAATATTATGGGGTGGTGTTACGTGTTGTATCACGAAAATATGACTGATCCCCCTGTTACTTATCATGTCTATATAGAATGTAGTTTCTACATACTTTCATGTATTTAACCATAGAATAATCAAACCATTTCGTGAATAATGAGCTATTCTTGTGTAATGAGAAGGTTCCTTATCCTTTCTCAACCTTATATATAAAAGATTACACGCACTGCAATCGTACGGTAGACTATAGACTGGCTACATCTCAAAGATATAATTTCATTTTAATGTGTAAATTTACTGTTGAAATGGACCCATTCAATATGTCTCTTAAAAATCGGTTTATTATGTGACCGATAAGTTTGCAATGCCGAACCAATGTCTTATTACGGCGTTTAATTCACGTAGTTAAAGGACATTATATTCACCCCTGATATCTCGCACGACACACACACACGCACACACACGCACACGTACACGCACATGCAGACGCACACACACGCACGCACGCACATACGCACACACGCACGCACACACACACACACACACATTCATATATATCTAGTACATATTTGTGAATGTGCCTCTGTTTGTCTGTGATCGATGCAAATCAATACGGAGCACTCTAGAAATGTCAAAGACGTGCAGTATAGGGGTAAATTTTGGTGCTGAATGTCATGGGTACAATGGATTTGATCTCCGAGGTCACCTAAGACAAAAACAAAAAATATAATGGCCCTTGCAGCAGCTTTAAATAAACGCCCCCCTGCAGCAACACTAAATAAACGGGCACCTGGAGCAGCATTAAATAAACGGCATTCACTTTGCATTGACTCGCATCACTGTACAATGCGCGTTACATTGCATTACTATACATACTAAATTACATACTAAAGATACTGTAGATAAATAAATAAATAGATAGATGGATATACATATAGATGGATAGATAGATAGATAGATAGATAGATAGATAGATAGATAGATAGATAGATAGATAGATAGATAGATAGATAGATAGGCATAGATAAATAGATTAGATAGCATAGGGTAGATAGATAGATAGATTAGATAGATAGATAGATAGATTAGATAGATAGATAGATAGATAGATAGATAGATAGATAGATAGATAGATAGATAGATAAATAAATAAATGGATAGATAGATAGATAGATAGATTTTTGATTTTTTTCTTTCAACCAAGTGCATGGTCACCAACAAAGCACTTTATTTCCCGGGCAACGCCGGGTGTCCTGCCAGTATATTATATATATATATATCAAACAGTATGTACGATACTATATAAATAGCTAATAATGCATAATAACTCAGGCACTCACTTATTAGCTCACTCTTTCACTCAATAATTCACTCACCCTATCACTCACTGAGTCACTCATTCCCTCGCACATTCGTTCACTAACTCACTCACTCACACACACACGACTCACTCACTCTCTACCTTGCGCGTTGTTGCGTGTTCCGTGACCACTGTGTGCCGTTAATATAATAGAGACAGAGTAGTATATCCATAGATATATACAACACATGTACACACATATGTGTTGTATATATCTATGGTATATCATAGTCTGATAGACTCATAGACATATATATGAGCCCCTCCCATCGGGGTGCATATGTTCCCTTGATCATTATGCATTTTCTCCCTTGTCACCCATTAATAAAATAACTTGTTCCCTAAAATGTTTTTACCTTGTGTTTCCACGATCCCGAAAATTATTTTCCAGTTCTCAATTTTCCCAAAAATATAACCCACTGTTCCCCATCCAGCATCTCGTGACGCTGGAGTGAAAAAAGACCTATGGTGGACCCTAATATCCCTACAGCACACTATTTTGAAATGACCCTGATATACTTCAAAGTTTATTGTAAACAGTCTCAGCAAACTTTGAAAAAAATCACAAAGATTTTCTGTTTCTGTTGTAGTACGTTGCAGTATCCAAATTTGGAAAATCAGTTCCCTTGTTCCAAAAAATCTAATCAGCAGTTCCCTTGTTATCTGAAAATAATTCGACAATATCCCCTGTTCCCTAAAAGCAGAGCATATAAATCACTGGTGATTTATATGCTCTGCTAAAAGTTAATGCTCCTAGCTGTTCCCCTGTTCCCTAAAACCCATGGGAGGGGCTCATATATGATATACGTGCAAACACATGTGTGTTTGGCTATGTTTATTATATCTATGGTACTGATAGAGATCGGTGGCCGTGACGGAAATACACAGCAGCAGCACAGCAGAACTAGAGTCCCTGCGCCATCTGGTGGTCAGCGATGTTGAAATGGCGGAGAAGTCACTGTCGCTAAACTCTAGCAAGTGTGACAAAAATTTGCCTTCTTGCGGGGTATGTTTGAGATTAAATGTTTAATATTTTCTCCTTATATGAAGTAACCTACTTGGCTACAGTGTATTTGGTTTGTTTAGAGTCTAATAGACACGTTGTAGGAATTAATTTCACATAAACGCTCTAGCAGTCTATGTTAATTTGGACCGGGCTACCAGATTAAACCGGACTGGGCTGAATCACCACAGCCTCAGCATCGTACTTGAGATAGAAAGCCGCTAATGCATTGTTAAATAATAACTTTGGTTTGTCTAGAACTCTTAATCGTCAAATAAAACGCATAAAGATAGTTTTTAAAGGAAATTCAAAGTTCTTGTTAGCATACAAGTTACAACACAATCGTACATAGTAATTAGTAATAGTATAATAGTACTTAATAGCAAACTAAGGGCGCGTTTGTTTGTCGTTTGGGACGAATCCGTCTGATCGAGATCATATGATCCTGATCCGACCAAACAAACGCAAAACTCACTTTCACCGGTTCACGTTTTGCTGTGACCTATCACGGGATGGTTCATAACAAAGAACAAGCTGTGATTGGCTGAGCCTGAGGTGTGGGCTGCCATATTGGATCACGTTCGAATCTGCCTCGCTAGCAGGGCCGGGTCCGGTGGATCGAGATCAAGTGATCCTACCAAACAAACGGTCAGATCAGCGAATCCATCGGATCGAGATCCGTGGATCCGACCAAACAAACGTGCCCTAATATAGCTCTAGTACTATAGCCCGCTTACATTAACTGCCGCTGGGCTATAGAACGACCTATGGGGCATGCGATGGACCAACTTATCCCCGATTATATCCGGCTATAAAACGTCTGTGGTAGGCAATTAATGCCTCTTATCCGAAGTGAATATGTATTAAGTTATAGCCGCTACTAAAATTGAACCTCTAACATCGTTGCAATGGTATACTTGCGGTATTTCTTGTGAACAAACATTCGATTTGCGAACTTCAAACGGCCATTTCTGGCGGCGCTGCAGCAGCGCCAGTCAGCGGGAGCTATGTATTTCCGCATGTGGAGGGGTGGGCGGGTTGTGTTGGTTGTGGACAAAAACATTGTTGTTGTCAAGTAACAAATTAAGCGATCGAAAGAGATTGTAATATTAGTTTTGTCATGAAAGATGAACAAATTACTATTATTAATTTGTTACTTGACAACAACAATGTTTTTGTCCACAACCAACACAACCCGCCCACCCCTCCACATGCGGAAATACATAGCTCCCGCTGACTGGCTGGAGTAAGTTGGTCCCGAGCATTCGTAATGGTTGATGCTATAGCCCAGCGGCAGTTAATGTAAGCGGCTATAGTACTAGAGCTAGCCCTAATACTGCTGATAGGGTCTATGTCCCCCAGAGCACTATCGGAGGGTACCCTACGTACGGTTTGATATATCGGAAAGTACCTCGGAGTACTATACGATATGTCGTTGTGTATCCTGCATTTTCCCACCGTACCCTGACTTTCAGCCAACTGATGTCTTAATACATACACTCTGTCAAGTTACCACATCACATAGAAGATACCTCAAAACATCGCAATCCAATAAAAATGTATGCTATGTTTGACTATATTTTTCTTTTTCCTTATTTTTAAACGAAGAGCTAGCTTTTATTTTTTAGTTTTACAACATCGAAAATACATCGGTTACAAGTCAGGGTACGGTGGGACAATGCAGGGTACGCAGCGACATATCGTATAGTACCCTGAGGTACTTTCCGATATATCGAACCGTACCCAGGATACCCTCCGGTAGTACCCTGGGTGACATAGACTTTATCAGCTCTAATACTAATATTAATAATTAGTAGTATGACAAAGCTTGTCTCAAATGCCATCACGTACTGGAATGTATTTTTAGGGCCCAAGCCTAGCTTAGCACCCCAGATTAGTTTAGCACATATGTGCAAACATTGCGGGGGTCCCAAAACTATTCTTGATTTGTTTTAGACTATTGCTCTGCGTTTAAAAGTATTAATGTAAACTATTAATGTAAACTATAGTGGTAGAACAAGGTTTGAGTTAGCTATTAGTCTTTAGTTTGATAGTCGCTTATATATGTGTGGTGAAACAATCACAAGCCAACAAATGAACCATGTACTGGCGCATACGTTGTCTAATACAACAATTGTTAATAATTTAAATTGATAACCTGTAGTGCTACGGTATGACATTGTATTAAGTAATATTAACTTAACTGTTTACTATCAAGTTGCTATTGTTTTACCTTTACAATAAAAGGGCTTGGTTTTGAAGCAGCGATTCATGCTGAATAGAATCAAAATTGCATTAGTCGACGTGATCTTCAACATCGTTGCGTGACATCTGTGATATGGCATTGTGTTGTTCTTACGCTTATGCATGATAACAGAGAATAAACATATTGCTTTGAAAAACCAGTCGTGTCTCCTCTGCCAATACCATTGGTATATTAGTCCAATTCTAGATTTGTTTTCAAGCTAAAAGGATTGCTGCATGCAGTGGTGTCATGTAGGCTGCTGTGATCGTATCAACTGTCATAGAGCTTAGTGGTGCTAGCTCTCAGTATGTACATTGCATCTAGTGGCATTGTTTACAAGCTATTCAAATATTAAACTGTGCAAGAGCTATGTCTGGCCTTGCTCTCTACCACACTAATGGTCACCCTAAGCCTATTAGCAGCTATGTGCATCCAGGCAGTAGCAATTGCTAACAAGTAATTTGCATGAGAACAAAAAGGAGAATTGCCAGGGTCGATCCGGAAGTCTGCAATATTGTGCTTGTTAGGGATGGCTAGTAAGTCATCAAACCTGTGGTCTCATCATTAAGAAGCCATACACTAGTGATGTCACGATCATCGGTTGAACAGTGGCTTGAACCAAGCGCTCGGTTATCAAAATCCATAATCGCTTTTCATCAAAAAAAAATATGAAAAATTGATGAGAATCAGAGATATCATCGCTACTATACAAGTTATCCTTTATTAACATACATGTATTATACACACAGTAGTAAACAGTGCAAAACAAACAGTAAACAGGGCTAAACAAGCACATACATGCACACACGTACATGCACACACGTACATGCACACGACGTTATGCACATGCAGGCATTCAACACCCCGAGTAACCGATTGTAACCGATCATCGGTTGCTTGGGTCCAACCGATGATCGATTACGAAATTACAACCGATTGACAACACTACCATACACATAGCCATTCTCAATATATGCCTTATAGTATCTTATATGCAACTGTTAGGTCACAGGAATTATGCTGTCCAGTTATAATAGAGCTCATAGGGTCCATGTCCCCCCAAGGTACTGCCGGAACGTACCCTGGTAACTATCTAGCTGATATGGTTAGGGTTAGGGTTAGTGTTAGGGAGTAGGCGTAGGCGACTCCCTAGACTCATTAATGGAGTAGGCGAGGTACGGTCCGGCATATTAGATAGTAGTATTTAGTACCAGGGTACGTTCCGGCAGTACCCTGGGGGACATAGACCCTCTCAGCTATAATATTAACAGAGGGACTCACTTCTTTGCAGTGACCCACTTCACATTGTTTTTTCGATGTATACAAACTAACTTTACTTCGCGATATTGCATAATAAATATTACGTCTTAGTTCGGGGAAGTATGTATCAAGGTGTGAAAACAGCATGATTGTGTTGGGATTGGCATGAGTAAACATAAGACATTTGATTAGACAATTAAGCTACATGTTGGAGGATTTATGGGATGTCGCAAATTATCATCAGCTTTGATGGCATGTTGTACCCGACATGCATGAAAATCCTGGGAAGAACCGTATATTTTGATAAAATACTATAATGTTCCTACTGTCTTGAATTATAAGTTGTTTATTCCAACGTAAAATATATATGCATAAAAATATATATCTAACTATTTCGTCAAACCATGAACATCTCGTATAGGTTTAACTCTCCCCCAAGTTGGTGAAAGAACAAGAGTTCCGTTTAGTAATTGAAATGAAAAATGTATTGATCAGAAGTTCAGTACATCAACTGTTAGATTAAAAACTTTCAATGAATGTCTTTATACATTAACATGTATAATGTTTAATAATTTTTCTTTACGTTTTAGGCTTTATAAAGCTAAATAGAAGCATGGCAGCACATTCACAACCTGCGAAGGTACGTTCAATAATAATTAAGGATACGCTCCAACTTTTGCACGGTTATGGCTCTAATGAAGAGTTAACGTTTATCGACAAATGAAACGATTCAATCACACGTTTTATTTATAGATTAGATGTATCTCTATACTCGAGCCAAAACATTTCATGAAATTTACAGCACCTAATTGTGTTACAACACAAATTTTGAATTTTTATGTAAAAATGGTATTTTTGATATTTCTCAATTACCACAAAGAGTGAGAAAGCAAGACTGTCGCCACAAGTTAAGCACAGTATGAACCAAAAAAGCGCATCAGGATTTTTTCCCAAGCTTCATATTTACTCAAAAAATGAGAAAAACTGCCTAAAATTTAAGTTGCATGTTTGAAATTGAAATGTTTGCAAATAATGAACTATAAGTATAACTCATAAAATACGGTACTTGATAACAATACCTGACGTACTTTTTTACAGCAATATGTTACCATTAAAACGAGTGTAAAGTTAGATTATTCCAAGTTGTAATCATAGAGAAATATCCATTTATATATCGGCTACTGTGGCAGAAATCGAAATGGAGAAATCAGCATTTTTCTACTTTTCACAATGATCGACCGCCTAGTGTGCAAAATGGGTGAACGTATGTGAAACATTGACTTTAGTACTTATATTACTGCTACATATCCATAACTAACTGAAACACTAAATTGGTAAAACGTTCTGTGCACCTTGAGAAATTGTGATAACATTTTGAGGTTACCATCGCAATTTCATGCAAAACGCACGAACGGTGCATACTGCATGACTAAGCTACGTGTCAACAAACCCGAACCAGCGAACCTATATGTAATGCCAGTAACCAGGTGTGAATACTATTTTCGCCTGCACGGCAATTCCAACTATCGCTGGAAGGTGACAGCTGTAGAAGGGTTGATGCTGATGGATACTCACTGGCATAGTGAATACCATGAAAATGCTGGTTGTATCATGTCTCAGACGTCATCAGTGATGTCAGCCGCAGCTCACTACACATATACGCGGGCAATCAAAACGCTCTGAAAGTTCGCATGCATTGTTATATTGAGAAATGAGTATGTACACAGGTGGCACCTATTGTTAGCCATCGAATAAGAATGAAAATAAAAAATTAGTAAAATTTCACCTAAAAGCTGCACAGTATCCTTCAGTGTATGCTAAATCATCACTTGTGTTTGTGAATTGTTATAGCGCAGTAAAGCGGCTTTTTGTATGTGATTGTTTTAGTATTCAAGTAATATATTAACTTCTTTTACTAAATTTCATATTATAAGGTAGTGTGACCTTCACATAATTGGTTGCATGGTGAAACCACAACCTTCAGCATTATTCACAACTCTAATTGAAAATTTGTTTGTTGAACCTTATGGTAGCAGTTTGCTGCAAATTTTACTGGCCATTTTACAAGTGATAATGAAGCTTTCTTGAGAGTGGTAAAAAATTGGCATTTTTTATTCCATCATTAGCTCACCTTGACATCGTCAAGCTGAGCTATTGCCATGGGTCGTTGTCCGTCGTACGTCCGTACGTCCGTCCGTCCGTCCGTCAACATTTTGCTACGGTCAACGATAACTCAGGAACCGTTTGGCCCACATGTTTGAAATTGGGTATAGTTGTTACTGCTATGCTCCCATATTAAACGTCCTATTTTGGAGCACGCCAGTCGACGTACTTTCGAGCCACGGAAATTTTTGGCAAAAATGGGAATTGCCATTAGTCAGTTCAGGTTCAACGGATTTTGCTCATTTTTGGTATGTGAGTGAATAAGGGCTAGGAGTTTTGATATCTAAAAAAAATTAGGCAAATTAGGTAGGGTTTGGCAATTATATAGCATATTATATAGACACAAACAGTCTGTGGTGTCACACTCATCTGGTTCGTTTTACAAGATTTCATTGACAATATCTTTAATGCAAAATTGGTATTTCCTCTCCACCCTGCCGATAAAACGTCTATATTAGAGTAAAGATTTACAAAACATGTCGGAACGCAGCATAACCTATTTATTTCAAACGCCATTGCTACAAAGCGGGTATAGCGCCATCTACGGACTACGGTCACAAATTGTGATTCATTTTGGTTTATAAATTATTATTGCGATATACAGATGGCAATCGTTTCTATAATGTACGTCGATGGTTGCTCAATTAAAACTGACTTCTTCTTACTCACTCATTTGTGTCCTTTTTTGTGGTGAGCTACAGTGTCATTGACACTTTCATTTTAGGTATTGTTTTCATTTGATGGAATGAAGTCTATGCAATAAAGATTGTTATTGATGTTGTTAGTGATCATTGGGCATTACTATTACGATTAGTATCACAAATGTTCTTTTTTTACGTGTTAAGTTACATAAATACAAGTAGTAAAAGTCACTGGCGCTGTTAACAAGTCAATAGTTGGATAAAAAATACAAACCACCTGCTACATTTGTTCATAACCAGAATAAGTGACCACAATTGTAAGAATTTTTGCAATCGGGAAGCTGGCTGCCAGACAATTTTTCTGGCAGATGGGAAAAATTATTGTCAGTATGAAGTGGTCAGAGTTGCTACACGTATGTAACGTTTTAGCTAAATCATAAAAAGGCTAAATATGTATTTATAATTACCTCTTGAGTAATTTGGAAAAATCTGGCATCACCTCATGTATTTGTAATATGTTACTAATTAGGGGTAGAAATTGCTAAGAGTTTGGACTGTTACATGCTCAAAATGATCACTTGAATAAGAAATAAAACTTTGAAATTCTATTAAGGGGCTGCCCCAAGCTTTAAACCTTGCACTCTAAGCACAACTGAATTTCTGGTATCTAATTTTACACTTGCTAATCAATTTATTAGGATAACTGTTGCTTGTTTTCGTATCATATTCATATCAGTTGGCTGCGTTTGATGTCCTTTTGAGTAATAAAGTAGGACTTGATCAATGCGCAGTAGATACTAAAACAATTTGTAGTTTTAAAAATTGTGTTGCACGAATATAGCATAACGTTTCGATGCCTAATACTGATGTCGATTTGTTTACTATCCATATTAGATGTAATAATTTTCTGCATTGCTGAATGTAAATATCGATAACAAATGGCATACTAGACTATAGACTACTGCTAGACTATATAATATAGGCAATGCGACTGATTACACAAATGGGAATCATTGAGTTGAAACTTTAACGTATATGAGGCCACATCTAGCTCGCAAGTAAATAATTTGTGTTATTTACTCTGCAGCAGTAGATTTCAATCATGTGCACGTACTCGTTCTGATGCTCCATCGCATGCAAACTTCGTCCGACAGAGAAGTACGAGGGTGTACACCTACAGGTTACATGTTCTGTGTTAGCGGTTCATACAAAATACACATGTATACATGTATGCAGAATTCCATACATCTGCATGGTATTTGTCCAGTGTGATCCTTTGTCAGTGCTGTTAAGTTTTGTTTGTTTCGTTTGTGTCTTTAATATCAGAAGAATAATTTGTATGCTTGTGTTTGTTGATTTTTGCGAAGTAATAATCTCGTGGATTCCCTAGTATCTGTTTAGGCTTCGTTATCAGTGGGCGTGCATTATACGTATGTTGTACAACCTCTGTTCTTCAGTGGCAAGTAAATCCGGCTGCTGACAGCAGTGAGGAGAGCAGTGGCAGCACTAATGGTCACACTGTGCAGCAGGCCAGGCCATTCGGACTAAATCACGAGCACAGCAGACCGTTCGGAAGTGCTTCCGCTCCGAGCAACAACATTTTCCTAACAGCTGCAACAGGTATAGATATATCAAACAGGAATTGTGCAGATCACCTGCTCAGTAAGTCTTGTGGTAACGTTAGATTTATTTTACACTTACTTGTGAAATAGCCTTCGCTTGACAGTCAGGCTCCCAGTGATCGTTGGTGAACACAGGCAATTTGCTCATAAAATGGATATTTTTAGTTCAGAAGAATTTCATGATAAGAAAAAGAAAAATAAGAACTAAATATTTTTTTAAACAGCCTAGGCCAAGATATTTTTGTTCACTGACACTGGTAAGCGACAATGTGTAAAACGGTGCTAAGGGGAATGGTAGTTTTGTACGATCTATTTAGATTATAAGCATGTTTATGCATTATCATGCATTTTTGCACTAAATAACCCTTCAGATGAGTGACAGTGCATAATGGCGCTATGGAAAATGGTCAGAGGGCCATACACGAAGTTCAGGATAACCACACTTTAAAAAATGGCTGCTTCAAAAAGGCATTAAAACAAAATAGCTGCTTTATCCCCTGAAAGATGTTTTGTTTGAACAGTTCATTTTCAATGGCAAAAGTAAAACAAATAGTAAACCAATAGAATCAATCTGGATCCGAAGAAATGAAGCACACAATTTTTAGCCGGATTTGTGCAGGCATCTAGAACGGAGGTTCTTAACCTTTTTTGTGTCATGGACCCCTTTGAGAATCTGGTCAAAGCTACTGACCCTTCCCCAAAAAAATGCACATAAGCAAATAAACACAATTTTTTTATGCGCCTGGTTTACAGACTCCCTGAAGCCCATCCTCGGACCTCTTTGGGGTCCATGGACTACAGGTTAATTATATAGATGCTCACGTTCCTCTGAATTGCGGTTGTTGGTGCCAAGCAGAGCTTGCTGATGACATTATTGTATGTGATGCTGTAGGAACACAGAATCCGTTTGCAGTGAAATCACAGAAGTCGTCAGGTCACGGAGATTCCAGTTGTGATTCATTATCTGGTGAAGGTAAGTAAGAAAATCACAATCTAGTGGCTACTCTATTACATGCTCTACTTGTGTTGAGACACAGGTAATGAGAATGGGGTAATTTCAACAGTTATGTGCCTAGTTAAATTTTGTATCTGTAATGATGTCGATCAGGAGTGAATAAAAAACGATTTGTTATTTGTTTTTGTTCACTTCTGATACCATAGTTGATTTTAGTTAGTGCTTACTTTATAGTTCCTATTCTTTGAGAGTAATTCATCACTGACGATGCATTCCTACAAAGTTGTGAATGGCAAAACAAATGGAAACAATAACTAACATTTGTTGTTGTTTATGCTTTATTAGAAGAGGCAAAGCCAATCATTGCACCACCAACATTCAGAGTCAGCAAACTTTCCTCTGTTGAAGGTAGGTTTGTCTGTGTGCACAAATATATTGCTTCGTGTGGTACCCCCATATATTTAGCTCACCTTGACATCGTCAAGCTGAGCTATTGCCATGGGTCGTCGTCCGTCCGTCCGTCCGTCCGTCTGTCCGTCAACATTTGGCTACGGTCAACGATAACTCAGGAACCGTCTGACCCACATGTTTGAAATTGGGTATAGTTGTTACTGTTATGCTCCCATATTAAACATCCTATTTTGAAGCACGCTAGTCGACGTACTTTCGAGCCATGGCAATTTTTTGGCAAAAATGGGAATTGCCATTAGTCAGTTCAGGTTTAACGGATTTTGCTCATTTTTAGCTCACCTTGACATCGTCAAGCTGAGCTATTGCCATGGGTCGTCGTCCGTCATACGTCCGTCCGGTTAGCTCACCTTGACATCGTCAAGCTGAGCTATTGCCATGGGTCGTCGTACGTCCGTCCGTCCGTCAACATTTCGCTTCGGTCAACGGTAACTCAGGAACCGTTTGGCCCACATGTTTGAAATTGGGTATAGTTTTTACTGCTATGCTCCCATATTAAAAGTCCTATTTTGAAGCACACAGTCGACGTACTTTCGAGCCACGGCAATTTTTTGGCAAAAATGGGAATTGCCATTAGTCAGTTCAGGTTCAACGGATTTTGCTAATTTTTGGTATGTGAATGAATAAGGGCTAGGGGTTTTGATATTTAAAATTAATTATGCAAATTAGGTAGGGTTTGGCAATTATATAGCATATTATAAAGTCACAAACAGTCTGTGGTGTCACACTCGTCTGGTTCGTTTTACAAGATTTCATTGACTATCTTTAATGCAAATTTGGTATTTCCTCTCCACCCTGCCGATAAAACATCTATATTAGAGTAAAGTTTTACAAAACATGTCGGAACGCAGCATAACCTATTTATTTCAAACGCCATCGCTACAAAGCGGGTATAGCGCCATCTACGGTCACAAATTGTGTTTCATTTTGGTTTATAAATTATTATTGCGATATACAGATGGCAATCGTTTCTATAATGTACGTCGATGGTTGCTCAATTAAAACTGACTTCTTCTTACTCACTCATTTGTGTCCTTTTTTGTGGTGAGCTACAGTGTCATTGACACTTTCATTGGTATGTGAATGAATAAGGGCTAGGGGTTTTGATATTTAAAAAAAATTATGCAAATTAGGTAGGGTTTGGCAATTATATAGCATATTATATAGTCACAAACAGTCTGTGGTGTCACACTCGTCTGGTTCGTTTTACAAGATTTCATTGACTATCTTTAATGCAAATTTGGTATTTCCTCTCCACCCTGCCGATAAAACATCTATATTAGAGTAAAGTTTTACAAAACATGTCGGAACGCAGCATAACCTATTTATTTCAAACGCCATCGCTACAAAGCGGGTATAGCGCCATCTACAGTCACAAATTGTGTTTCATTTTGGTTTATAAATTATTATTGCGAAATACAGATGGCAATCGTTTCTATAATGTACGTCGATGGTTGCTCAATTAAAACTGACTTCTTCTTACTCACTCATTTGTGTCCTTTTTTGTGGTGAGCTACAGTGTCATTGACACTTTCATTTCAAAACGAATTAGTTATCAATAGTGATTATTAGCAAACCGAACAAAACCAGTGTTGGATAGCTGGCACTCGACTTCCTATGTGGGAAGCTACTTTTTGAGAACAAAAAATGAATACCCAAGCCAGTTCCGATTTCGAAAATCTTGATTTCTACTATTTTAACCGATAGTAAAATCCACAACGATTAGCGAGTCCTGTTCAAAAGTCGGCAGTCCTGGCTGGGGGACAGGCTGCTATTTCTAGCACTGGGAAACCGGATGCTATGTTGTTATGCATATGGCATAACAGGGCATGAAATTAGCCAAAATGTAAACAGGCCCACCAAAAATTTTAAACATGCCATTAGATAAATTGAACAGGCCCTTACAAGTTTCAACAGGCCCTTAATTTTGTTCAGTTTATTCCATTATTAATAAAAGTATTAGCTTTGTGTTTATTATAGGCATACTCATAGAATTTCAGTATTCCATTGCTACCAGTGGAATTCTACTTGTTTGACAGGAATTGCTGGAACATGATTTACTTCTTAGTAGTCGCTAAGTAAAAACTAGTCAGGAAATTGGTAAATATTGTTGATATAAAGGCAAAATAGGCAAAATTTTGAATAGGCCAAATGGACTGATTATATGGGGGGTTGAACCGGCGGTTTAGGGGGTTGAACCTGCAGCCGCCGGCAAAATAGCACTAATTTCGCGCACTGGTATAAGAATATGCATGTGAGCAACTCATCACGGGCGCTTTGTGACTTCACCCGCAGGCCGAGTTAAAGTGGAGATGTCGAAACCGGGACCAAGTCTACCCGACTCGTCATCGAATTCTAACTTTACCGAGGCAAAGCCCCACTTGCCGCCTGCATTCGGTGGATTCGGCGGGCAGACGAGCTTTCCCGTTACAGCGATGGGCAAATGTTTACTGAGGCCATCGGCTCTCAGTGCGCAGACAGCGATGATAAATTCGCAGAAGAAAGGTTAGTTTTCTTAGTGATTCTCCATTTTAGCTCATCTTATGTTTTTGGTAGTCATCTTAAATTGACTACGTCACAAATTTTCTATGGTAAAATTTGTAAAATTTTTGTTGCCATTTTTTTACATTAAAAGTAAGAACTAATGGGACTAAACGTATCGTCAAATTTTTACCTGATAAGATTGTTTCTCAATAGTTAAAAATCCAAAAAACCTGGACGATTTGATACTAGTGTTCCTGACATTAATTGCTTGCTATGGGCTATGTATGAGTCACGAGTGTATGTTCACATCGAACAATATAGTAAAATAAGAAGTATAATGCAGCAACTTAACCATAAAAAGTGTACAAAATTACTTCTGTTTTGTGAAAAAGTGGGAATATTTCTTTTATTTTTACTATTTACGGTGACGTAATCACTTTAAGGGGTAGCCAGTCTCAATCCCCATATTGCATGGATCTCATACATGTTACATGTAGCTTTCCGTGCATGAAAAATGACATCTGTTCTGTCATTGTTTTTCGATTGCAGTTTTCTCTATTACATTTGTAGCATTTATAACGTAATAGGCTGGGATGACATTGCCAGTTGAAGCTTTCAGAATAGCAAAATTGGAAGTGTGTGTGTCACAGCCCAAGTGTGAATGGTTCACTAATTGAGTTCATATTCAGAAATTTGAAAGGAGCAGTATTCGTAGCAATAGTAGCAGCAGAAAAAAACCCTAGCATTTAGATGAGTTCTATTGCTATGCAGAATTTTGTGTGTATCAGAGTGCAATGATCTTCTTTTTGACATGATAGTTGGTGCACTTTCAAGCATGTGTTCATGTTGTAGGTGCTGGTAACAAGGAAAATAGGGAGCATTCCCCAGAGAACCTGGAAAAGACTCCTCCTCTGGAAAAAGCCTGCTCGAGGGTTGAAAAGGATGGTACTGCCCTGCAGGCTAGCGACACAAACACATCTGATAGGCATGTTCCTGTAACTTCTGCAAATAACTACTTCCTCCAGTTTAGCCAGCCAGTTGCAAGCAGTAGCAGGTATGCTGAAGTTATAATGACATCGCTTCAGAAACAGTTGCAGATTAAACAATGCATGTGAGGAATGCTTTAGAACGTCAGTTCATACATGTCATATCGTAGTGTAGTTCTGCACCAGGTAGTGATTTAGATTTAAATTATTGTGGAAAGAAGGGTTAGTGGTGGCTCAGGCTCATGAGGGTAGTAAGTTGAATGATGTTGATATTAATCCCAGATTAACGAGTGCCCTAACGTTGCAAGAAAAGGACGTTTGTTTAGTAAGCTAATGTTAGCCTGATTAATTAACATTTCATTGTAAGATATACTCTGTTATGTGCAATTGCTGGTATATGTTTGTGAGTAAAACATAGTTGTATTTTTCAATTTAGTCCACCAGAAGTAAAGTCCGAGAGTGCGTTTGTGTTTGGGCAAAACATGACTGAGCGTGTGGTAGTAAGTGATAAATGTTTTCATCCTACTCTATATAACGAGTGCTGATCTTATTACAGAGTGAATGGTTGTGCTTGTAGTTTATAATCTCAGAGTGGTAAAGAGCCAGATTAATTTAATATCATATCTCTCAGATGACCCAGTCTTCCAGTTGCAATTATAGAATCCCATTATATGATATCATTCATGCATAATGTATAAATCCATGTTATGAGTCCTGGAAATCAACTCGTCATTGTTACTAATGAAACTATGGGTACATGTTTCCCATTTAATTCTCTTTTGTATTTAATATTTAGAATGCTCCACAAGAGGATTCGAGCGAGGAGAAAGACAAGGAAGAAGAACAGGATGAGGATGAAAAGGAGGAATCCGAGGAAGATAGTCCAGGAAAGCATGGTATAGCGTGTATCTCTATTTGGGAAATGCCACCGAGCGAATCCAATCTTTCGTTTTAAGCTTCTCGAGGAAGTCGTTGCATAATTCAAATTAATTGTTCCTAACTCGACTTAATAACAATTGAAATCTTTTTTTTCTTATCAAATTTTTTTTCTTGCAGCGGCAGGTTCGCGAAGTCCAAAAACACTGGCGGAGTCAGCCCAGGAGTATGAAGCCAGGCAGTCTAAACGTCACTTTAACGAGGTGACTGTCATAACTGGTGAAGAAAACGAGTCCAACGTTTTACAGGTATGTCCTGAGCTATGATTTTTAATTTGCATTTTACAATTTCTAAATTTGACAAAGTTTTATTTTGCCAAGTTCCTAAAATACGGATTTGGATGACTAGTTAATGTGCCGTCTGTCTCGTAACTGTTAATCGACTTAGGTGTGATTCTATTGGCGTGTCTGCTTGTTAATGGACGTGCGATAATTGGTGGAAATTTTCAGATTCACGGTAAGCTGTTTAGATTCGAGCACGACACAAAGAACTGGTTGGAAAAAGGAGCTGGCCTGCTGCGACTCAACGACATGCAGGGATTGGAGGAGGGTGATTTCCAATCTCGATTAGGTTCGCAAAACTATCGATTTTTGTTATATACACCTGTTCCTGTTCATGGTACCGATTCTTACCAGTATAGATTATTACCACCCCAGGTAAATCTGGCTTTACTTATCTGGGTACGCTGCAACATCGCTGGGATAACTGTGGCATGGATCGTTTAGTGTGATTTCATCTTTGCCTCAGCATGCATTACGTTGTACTGTTCGTGTTTCAGTGATGCGTTCGCATGGTAGCCTGCGCGTGATATTAAACACAAAAATATGGTCGGGCATGATGGTGGAGAAGGCAAGCAAGAAGAGCGTGCGTGTCACAGCCGTAGAAAATGGAGATCCAAGGATCTATCAAATCCTGGTAAGAATTGATCGTGTGGTTTTTGCAACAACATGCGATTAACCTGTCATTCTGCTTTTGATTTTTAAGCAGGTATTACAATGTGAGAAAAGGTTAAAATCATGCATTCTCAGGATAACTACTATAGCACAATATTTGAAAAGGAGTATTTGGATTGATAATTGTCGTGGTATTTATTATATTGATTTATCAAGCAGATGATAGTTAAAATGTCTCCGGCTGTATGTTGGCCAGATGTGTCTGGGCACCAATCGGCTGTCACCTCATTATTTATATATTAAAAAAATTCCAAACATATTTATGATTATAATATCTGTATATAAATATATATATATATATATGTATATATATGTGTAATTCTTTATATATATATACATCAAGAGTACATAATAGAGAAGAGTATGACACCGTTTTAACAGCGTTTTGCATAGTTTTCAACTTGTAAATATTCTATCAATGTGAATAAATATATTCAAACTTTACCTTGTTTTCGTCTATGATTCTCCCTTAATCATATGACACCACCAATTTACCTGAAAATCGTATGTGTTCTTCAAAAAAGTTCTTTAAATACGACACGGTTTCACACAGTTTTCACAAACTTTTGCATCTCCGCGGCCAAACTTGATATAGCGGCGGCAGCACCAGGTTGTAACTACGGGACGCTGGGGGCTGTTGTGGATATTAGGTAAGCACAGTAACAGCACTTGTTTCGCTTCCTTATCATCAGGAATACGATGGCAACACAGCTAAAATCAGCTGCTAGCTTGCCGCGAGCACACATTTATTTTTAGCACGCTGGAAACGCTACACGCTGAATACAATTCGATGCCTAATCTCCCCAGCAGCCCCCAGGGTTCCGTCATAGTCAATAGGACACTAATCCAATAATAAACTATGGCTGAACAGATGCGACCATTTCTGAAAACTGTGTGAAACTGTGTCGTATTCAAAGAACTTTTTTGAAGAACACATCCGATTTTCAGGTAAATTGGTGGGGTCATATGATTAAGGGAGAATCATAGACGAAAACAAGGAAAAGTTTGAAGAATATTGATAGAATATTTACAAGTTGAAAACTATGCAAAACGCTGTTAAAACGGTGTCATACTCTTCTCTATTATGTACTCTTGATATACATATACATAAAATTGTCATTATGAAAACTAAATCAATCAATGCCTAATACCAAGTACATTTTAGGAATAATCACTTAGCTAATTAACGGTGATCAATGCCTAACGTCGCCAATGCCACTTGCTGCGAGTGAACCTTCGTTCCCTCCCCCCCAAGGTTAACCTGAAGGACGCCGAGCAGCTGTTCAACGCGATCGAGTGGCGCATCCAGTCGCTGAAGATCCGCGAGCAGACACGGCGCGACACGAAGCGCACGCACGACGATGTCGACAGCAAGAGTGTGGAGTCACGCGACACCGATGCGCTCGCGTCGGCCAGCAAGAAGTCGAAGGCGGTCGATTCGCCGGGGAGAGCCGACTCGCTGAGCCTCACGCCGACGACGGACGCGCACGAGGAGTCGAACAGCAGCCTTCCCGACACGGAGACGGAGGGTGAGGCGTCGCGCTGATTGTTGTCTAGTCTGCTGTCGGTGCAGCGCACGCACACACGGAGAGATTGCTCGCACCCACTCTTACTACCCCAGTCGTGCGTGCATGGGTGACATACGCACGCAGCTACAGGTCACACTCACGCAGATCACGCACACACAGGTCACGTTTACACAAACCACGCATGCACGCAGATCACGTGCTCACAGGGCACGCATGCATGCAGATCACGTGCACACAGGGCACGCATGCATGCAGATCACGTGCACACAGGGCACGCATGCACGCAGACCACGCACGCACGCAGATCACGTGCACACAGGGCACACATGCACACAGGGCACACATGCACACAGATCACGTGCACACAGGGCACGCATGCACGCAGACCACGCACGCACGCAGACCACGCATGCACGCAGATCACGTGCACACAGATCACGCATGCATGCAGATCACGTGCACACAGGGCACGCATGCACGCAGACCACGCACGCACGCAGATCACGCACGCACGCAGACCACGCATGCACGCACGCAGACCACGCACGCACGCAGATCACGTGCACGCAGACCACGCACGCACGCATGCACGCAGATCACGCACGCACGCAGATCACGTGCACACAGGGCACGCATGCACGCAGATCACGTGCTCACAGGGCACGCAGATCACGTGCACACAGACCACGCACGCACGCAGACCACGCATGCACACAGATCACGCATGCTCGCAGACCACGCACGCACGCAGATCACGTGCACACAGACCACGCACGCACGCAGATCACGCATGCATGCAGACCACGCACGCACGCAGACCACGCACGCACGTAGACCACGCACGCACGCAGATCACGTGCACACAGACCACGCAAGCACGCAGACCACGCACGCACGCAGACCACGCACGCACGCAGACCACGCACGCACGCAGACCACGCACGCACGCAGACCACGCACGCATGCAGACCACGCACGCACGCAGACCACGCACGCACGCAGACCACGCACGCATGCAGACCACGCACGCACGCATGCACACAGAATACACTCACACTGGTCACACTCAAACAGACCGTGCATGCACACAGACCACACATGCACACAGATCACACGAACACATGTCTCGCATGCACACAGATTACGCACACACGCACGCATGCACACAGAATACACTCACTCTGGTTGCACTCACACAGACCACGCTTGCACACAGACCATGCATGCACACAGATTACACACGCCGGCAGGTAATGCAGGTCACCACATGCATGGAGGCACACATCCTTTCTGACCGATGATCGGTGCAATGCACTTGCGCAATTCTTAGCAGTATTGATCTAGGAATCTATGGATCTAGTTAAATCTATTCTTCATTCGTGGCGGTCACAGTCGTTATTTGTGGGCTAATGCCAGACTTGCGTATTTTGAACTTGCAGTGTCAAACGACAGCCTGCCATCTGGGCGTCTCACTGTGCCATCCACGTCAGTCCCGTCGTCGCCCCCTAGGAGTGACTCGTCCTGCATGACGCCCGAAAAGTCGGCACAACCGTCATCAGTCGCATCACCAGAGGGCAGTACTGAGGGTCAATCGGTCGGCGACCCGTGTCCAGAATGACGCAGTAAGCCGTCGTCTCGGTAGCAATTGCTTCGTTTCACTTATTATCTGCGCTGGGTCGGTGAAACGCCGTCCCGGCCGTGGTCGCTCTCACTCGTTCAGGAGCTCACTTCATATTTCAAGGGTCTAACAGTTGACAAGGTCAATGAAACCTTTTGCCCCAGTAAACAGAAGCACCTGCGTTGGTAAACGTGACAGCCAGGGACGCCTAAGCATAGATCTTAATGCACTGCTGTTGTTCCGAGTCTAAGAAAATTTAGTATACATGTACAGACTAGACGTCCATACAATTTGTGTTCACTATTTCATGGAGCCAAGCCAAATTCCTATGATTAGACTACACACATACATGCATTCTACGTAAACAGGGTATGTAAGAGAATTTATGTTGTGGGTGGGGGGGATAGATGACATACAGGCAACTATAAATTTGGGCTAGTATGGTGGGTTTACTTGCAGCTGTGACAAACATTCCTGTTAGTCGGTGCTCCTTATTCTGCCTTGTGCAGTGACAGTAATTATGTCATTGTAAGATCGCTCACTTTTAATCTTCGGTTAGACTTTTTGAAGTTTTTGGGCTACATTGTGACAATCTCTATTATTTTATCCCATAACCTTGAGATTCTGCATAGCAAGAGTGAATCTACAATTCTGAGTGCATTGACTTCGTAATGCAACAGGTTTCAGCTTTTGTTGCTGTAGGTAGGGATTGAAGATCATGCAATCACGTTATGAGAGGAGACTAGAAGTATAGCACCCAGATGTGCAATTGGAAACAGCTTTTGAAATGGTACCTGATATAAATTCTGTTCATGTTTGTAAAGAACATCATTCCTTACATAGCTATACTTCCATTAAAGCAGTGTATAACCAGTCGTGTGTGTCATTTTTCTGTCAGTAAGATCTTCCATATTACATTCTCAATATGGAATTTATTTATAATGTGTCAGATATATTAATGTCTATGCATTGTCTTGTCTATGCATGTGCAGAGGTGTTGCCCACTGGTTATTGTCTGTTTACCTCTGTAGGTTGCCACGTGTTTATTTTTTGCTTTCCTTATCTATATGAAAGTTAGCCTAAGATCGATGTTTCGAACTGCAGAGCCCAATATTTTGGACATGAAATGGTACTATGTACTTCAACAGTTTTTACTTGTACACGTAATAGACTTTCGGCTGACTGTAAATACGTGTAAATGTCAGTAAGAGCCAGTACCAGATGCATGTGCAAGCTTAAAAGTAAGCACTTGGTGTTTACATTAAATTTGCACTTGTTGTCATTCTTTAAGATAGGATGTCTATGTGTGTAGTGGGAGAAGTCGATATTTTTGTTTAGCCACTTATCGATGGGATAAAATGACTGTTATAGTATATGTATACACGTATCCTTGTACTCAGCATGCCTCAGGCCGATTCTATATCTACAGTTGCAGCTTACCTTCCATTACTGCTTACTTGCTGTATAGCACATGTACAGGTTGCTATAAGCTAGAAATATGTGTATTAGTCATGCTGGACCCATATAATGCATGAAAAATTACACCAGCCAATACTCGAGGCACAACATCGGTAAGATTGTAAATGATGATATCAAGTTCTATACGGTTTGCAGTGATTCTGTCAATAATAGTACTCGAGAAAAATATTTATATTGGTAACGTGGTCGAATTGTAATGCAAGGCATAGATGCATATCAGCCTATATGTGAAACACCCGAGGTTCGGTGTCGTGACAGAATCGGCCGAGGTGAGTTGAGTGCTATCTTCACTGCCTTGCACATATGGTCACCCGGTCAGATTGTCAGATGGTCACCCAGTACGTATGCAGTTGTGGTAATGTATACGTTACACAAAGGCTTCCTGATGTCTAACATTTATTTCTACTACCAATAATTAGTGTTTCACGTAAGACAGGTTTCTTACTTGGAAATTATTGAAGGTACCTTTCGAGATATCGGCAACTATATTATAGGAATGTGTCCAACTAAATAGCAAGCAGCAAGTTTGCTACACATAGCAAGTGGATATTATTCAGTTTAGATGTTCGAGTTCATGCACGTGATTGACCAAAGCTGCTGTAGCAGCAAGTCGAAGGCAAAAAAACAAGCTTTCTATTCATTGTATTCGTTATTAAATTTTGCACAACCATCTAAGTGTAAACAACAAACAAATGAAATCCCCACTGCATTGACACCAATACAAATATATTTGCCCCTGACTGACTGTGCATAGTAATTTTGAAACAATGCAGGTAAATTAGTAATTTTATGCTTAATATTGTTTTTTCTAAAAGCAGTGATTGCAATTGGCAAAACATATAACTACTGAACGTTTTAAGTATGCGTGTACAAAGCTTATATGTTCATCGCCTTTGATTAGCTGACCAAGCAGAAAGCACTTCATTTTCATAATATAGTGGTAAGCAAGAAATGTCTATCTAGAGGAGCCCTACTTGTATTCAGACTACAGTTTTATCATTCTATTAATGAAATCTGCTGGATTGGTAGAATATGTACATGGTTGTGTTGGGCAAATTCACTTACATGACTTATTGGTAACTTCTACTTGGGATGTACATTTCAGATGTGAGTGCAAAAAAAACGAAGTATGATTTTAGACGTTTAACCACGTCAACAGGTGTACAGATGAAGGCTGAAGCAGACGAAAGGTAAACAAAAAATCTGTTAGGAAAAAATCAGGAAGACTGAATCCTGCTATATTCATGCAAAAAATGTTGATATTTCTACTGGTATGCAGATATGCATGACTTGTCAACCAATCTCTTTGGCTACAACTTGACGTGGCATTACAGAGCATTTTCCTAGGAAATAATGGACAAATCCTATAATCAATGAATGACAGATGCGGTGACGTTGAGGTGGTGAACTATGTATGGTGCCGGTTGGTCACTTTTACATCTGCTAATGTAACTTTCTTTGATAACATCATAACACAACATACAAGTAGCATAGAAGTAAATAACATTTTATATAAAACCAGTTTCATGGCGGATCTGTTAGCCACTGTGGACAATTAGCCATGTGTTTAGATTAGCATTCTAATATTTCTCCCGTATTTGTTTTGGCTTATATATACTGTGAGCTACATATTTACATTTTAACTGTATACTGATTATTAGGCAGGTGACTATATAATCCACAAATCTCGTCAGTATTCTCACTTATATAATATATATGAGACACTGTTAATGACGAGAAAATACTAAAATTTTCATGAACACAAAAAGGCACATATTACTGTACTATGTTGCAGATGATACTACTATAGTACCAGATCGCTGGAGTATCTGTACACGAGCGTTTTACATGGAAGTACTTGCCCACTTTGATGTATGATATAAAAGCACATAAAACATAGGTGTGCTCTTGTTGATACATAGTTTCACTAACAGAAGTTGATTTGATTATGATAAACTACTAAAATGAAAGCATATATGGAAAATATAAATGTGTATAATATAATTACAGGTCATTTGTTTATAACAAGTTTTCAGTCATACAAAATCGAAAAAGTACAGCTTATTAACATGAATATACAAGAAGGAATAATTAGTCCTGAAACTACACATTACTTTACAATTGGTATACATACAAATTATCGTACTTGTTTTCATGTAATGTATTTGTTCAATTGTACTGGTCTAATTTTGCAACTTGTTTAATTTATAATAATCCATTCAATTGAATATGATGATATTCATGGCTAGCACCCACCCTAATCTTTTTGAAAAGGCACATGTGCATTATTATTGGAATAAGTGTTGAAATTAAACGTACAAATCCTCTGAAAATTTTCTTTATGTGTTAATGATGTATTACAGTGCTTCTGCTACAGTATATGTACATGTGATATAGGTAGCATATTGCAATTAGTCTATAACTTCCATAAGTAACCAACCTATTTTCCAACCAGTTCAAGCATTGCTGTGGTACAGGATGTTCATTATTAAGTCTGTAACTGATTTTAAAGACTACACAGATATGGAGTGTAAAGTAGTGTAATGTGTAAGCAGCAGTGTATTGTCAATTTCACGTGTACACTATTAAAATGACTGTCATACACACAAATTATTCGTTTGCCTTTATTGCATTTAAGTAGTGTGTATACTTGTGTGTAGGTCTGGATGTTAATTATAATTCATACAAAAATATTATTATAGGAGTAAATATGTATTGAGGGCTAACTTATGAGCATCATTGCACTTTATGGCCATGAAAGCTGTTTAATTATAAACACGTCTAAAACACGTGTATATGTTTTCCCGTCGTAACAATGCACTAAAATCACTTACTTCCAGCGTAACATCATGCCAAGCCCAATTAGGGAAGATATTGTTCCAAACATGCCAACCTGCCAAGGCTTTAGCACTCCTGACCAGAGAATGCCAGCAGGTAACCAGTGCACAGCATTACACAAGTCAGACGTATGCTGGATGATCACAAGTACTTCTGTCGTTGTTTTCCTCTGGAGGGCACCTAACTCCATAACATGCCGTTCTCTGCAAGCAAAATTCACAATGATATCCTTTCACGTGTTCCATCAACATATCTAATCTGCACGCATAACAATGAACAAGCATGAAATGTTTTCTAGCACAAATATAAGTCACACGGGCCACGGCCAATTGTTGCTGCAAAAAATTAACTCCTATGTTAAGTAACATCTTCTAAAGTTCATTTAGTTATATTACACTTGATTAGTGATTACTATTCTGTGAATATATACACATTATTAAGTAACTGCACATGAAGGAAATGGAGATAACATTAATACCTTTCTGCAGAGCTGACACTATTAACAGCTTTGTGCATCATGTTGCGTTTTCGGGCCTTCAGCTTTGACATAATTAAAATACCTCTGAAAAAGAATTGAAATTTTTGATGTAGGATAAGTGAGTGTGTTATAAATTCCTTTTTATGTTTTAGTGAAATCGATCAGCATTTGTATGACATCTAATTTTGAGCAACAAAAGAATGCGTTCTAATGACAGCTAAATCCCAAAAGCCTAATAATAACCTTATAATTTCCACTATCAGTGATGCAGTCCACAATGTAGTACACAAATTCCACCATTTGGAGCAGTCTTTCACATTAATGATATTCTTTTCCCCCAACCAGGCTATGTGCTCAACTGGGAAGTACATTTGATTCACAATGTTGCTCAATATGCCAAGCTTCCTTAATGCACCATCCTTTTCCTGTAAAATTGTTGTCAAATTTTACACAGTTGTAAACCAGAGATCTTACATATAAGGGTCTAAAATGCAAATAAAAAGTATTAGACATTAATGTAACCATGACATTTTATTTTAGTTAATACTACTAAGGTAATATTAGACACTTTCAAATCATACAGTCATGACAAAGTGAGTAAAAGGGGGGGAAGGTGTAGGAGTATGGTTTAGGGTCGCATTACATGGACTGCATCTCAGGATTCCAGCTTGAGTGGTGTTCTAGAGCACCCAAAGATTTTTGCTATGCAATAAACTGTACTTCATAGGTGCGCCATTTGATATTCCTTTAAAAATTTAACCGTGTAAGGAAATCAGGATTTTTATTAAGGCAGCATTATTTAATATAAGATGCAGAACTTATTTACATTATTTTTTATTTATTAAACAAAAAACCATTTCAGTACCGAGACCATCCAAATTATGCATGCATATCCAATTCTACGGGTTTCTACGATTATATTTACCATATTATATCACATCATTGTAACAAAATAAATAAAATAAGAATGTAACCTTCATATTTATTTTTGGCATGATTTTTTTGAAATTGTTTCTTTGAATGTTTAAATTTTTCGTTGATTGTCTTCGAATCTTCCTGCCACACTTGCGGCTTGCCATCCTCTCGCGCTGAACCGTTTGGGAACCACTGCACTGGCCTACTAGTACTACACCCTCCCATAACAAGTGCCGCAGAGCGACAGCGCTCAACTGACGTGTACTGAAGCCGGGTATTCTTCTAATAAACTCACTGGCAACCGAATCAAGTGCGCCCTCCCGCCACCGCGTTCATAGGCTTTGCTATACCGGTAGTACAGTAATAAAGATATAGCTGTGTAACTTTAATGACTTCGCTATATTAACGTTATCATGGATATGCGTCGAGCGCGAGCATAGTGGTGGTGGTGGGGGGAGGGGGCTCTAATAGCAAAAGCAGTTAAGTCCTTTGTTAACAGTCAACAAATCCATGTTTAACCCTCCTCTTGAGGGTCAAAAGGTTATCAGACACTTACTCTTCGCACGTCAGCGGAAAGTAGATTTCACGGTCCTTTCAATAAAGTGATAAAAATGGTAGGTCAGCGCTGAAACAAAACAGTTTTGCACTCGGTCCGTTAGACCATGTCCTCAGAAAAATGTCTGATATCTGACCTTTCCCCCACTGACCTTTGACCTGTGACCTGCAATTTCGCGATGGTGATGGGTTTCCTCCCCATCACACTATACATCGAATATTAAGAGCGTAGGTCGAGCCGTTGAGTTTTGTGCCGCAATTCCGTATTTCCTCCTATACCTTAAGTTAAGGGGGAAATATTCCCCCTCCATTGACACATTTTGACCTTTGACCCTTGACCCCTAAATTCGACATCCCGAGTCTTTTTCGCGATCTCTCTCCCCCCCCTCATACGTCGCGCGGTTCAGATTTGTGCCGTAACTGTTGACGCACGAACGGACGGATATTCATGCGATTCTACAAGCTGCATCCGCCTTCATCAGTTGAGCTAAAAATCCAATGCTCTTTGGATATTTGCTTAGGCTAAGCTGCATAGTTGACACAATATGTATATATATATTATATGTATATACAGGGCATCAAATTAAGATTTTTTTGCACCTGCCCAAAGGGCTGACACCAGCAGTTTTTTACCAGCCCTCACAATTTTTTTTTTCAAAAATAAAGGTAACTGTTTCACTGCACTGACTCATGCTTGTCCGAAAAATATTGTAGTGTGTGGCATCACGTAGTAGCTGTTAAACAGACTTTTATTTTTTAAACATAATGCAGATCGTTGTCGTGAATGATGTCCGAAGTGTTTTTGTCAATTTCATGTTTTATGCTTGCATTCTCTATTTCAAATTTGTAAAATGTTGATAAATTATGACGTGATATGATCTGATATCCTTCAGGTGAAACAGTAATGTAGGCTATTTGTTCATTAATGCTATAAATAATGAAAGTGTCAATGACAATGTAGCTCACCTTGGGTGTGATAGAAGAGGGAGGGGGATATATAAAGCAAGAGTATATATGGGAGAACTCCCATTACATAGCATATCTCCCATTATATACTCTTGATAATGATATATGCATAAGTTTTGATGCGAAAATAAATGTTTCACATCTGTAAGTCTAAAATCTTGACGAGAGATGGCGCTACGCCTAAATGATCGCCATTTTGGTTTTCGAATATCGCGCAAATAAAAACAATAAAATATTCCAGTCAAATTATTGTAACAAAGAATCTAAAACACAATATTACCTGTATATAGGTATGATTGTAGAGTTGTTGACCAGTTAGACAAAATAAACATAATAAGACGTTGTCATCTCTCCCATAGGAGTAACAACTGTTTTGGGGCTAGCCTTACACATTCACATACCAAGATTTAACAAAATTCAATGAATATAGATGGCCATTTTCATTTTTGCCAAAAAGTGGGCGTGGCTCGAAAGTAGGTCGACTGGCATGCTCCAAAATAGGAAGTTCAAATCTCTCCCATAGGAGTAACAACTGTATTCAATTTGAAACATGTGGGTTAAACGGTTCTTGAGTTATCTTTGACCGTAGGCAGACATTGAAATGCATAGTGAAATTGCCAAAATCTACCTAATTTGCATAATTTAAAAAAAATATCAAAACCCGTGTGATATGTTTTGGGGGCAGTCCTCATTCATTCACATACCAGAAATGAGCAAAACCCATTGAACCTAAACTGACTTGTGGCCATTTCCATTTTTGCCAAAAAGTGGCCGTGACTCGAATGTTGGTCAACTGGCGTGCTCCAAAATGGGACGTTCAAACCTCTCGCATAGGAGTAACAACTATGTGCAATTTGAAACATGTGGGTCAAACTTTTCTTGAATTATCTTTGACCGTAGGCAGACATTGAAATGCATAGTGAAATTGCCAAAATCTACCTAATTTGCATAATTAAAAAAAAATATCAAAACCCATGTGATATGTTTTGGGGGCAGTCCTCATTCATTCACATACCAGAAATGAGCAAAACCCATTGAACCTAAACGGACTTGTAGCCATTTCCATTTTTGCCAAAAAGTGGCCGTGGCTCGAATGTTGGTCAACTGGCGTGCTCCAAAATGGGACGTTCAAACCTCTCACATAGGAGTAACAACTATGTGCAATTTGAAACATGTGGGTCAAACGGTTCTTGAGTTATCGTTGACCGTAGCCAAATGTTGACGAACGGATGGACGGACATACGACGGACGACACCCCATGGCAATAGCTCATCTTGACGATGTCAAGGCGAGCTAAAAATGTAGGTACTCGCTCACACGGCACGGCTGAAACCACTGCCAGCAAAAACAAGTCTGCACTATCTACAGCACACACGCCGCCATTGACTATACAGGCGTGGATTTAGGCCGGTTTGCACCAGTTTCCAGAAACCGGTCACAGGCCTCAAAATTCACCAAAATGCACCAAATATAACCAATTTTTTTTTTAATTCCCTGGGGGGCATGCCCCTGGACCCCCCTAGCTGCAGAAGAACATATGGAAACTGGTCACCCAAACCCTCTGGATCCGCCCCTGCTATATATATATACTACATGGTGCCTAACTCGCCGCCGCACGGACCACAACTCACCGTTTTTAATCAGTTACAACTCCGGTGTTCCTGCAGGTGACGCCACTTGGGGACTGTTGAACAAGCTACACACGCCATTTTTGCAATCGGCCGCTACAATGCGCTCAATCACAGAAATTCCTTAATATACATGCGAAATGATCCTTCGCATGCTATACTATAAAGAAGGCGCAGGGCGGCTGCGCTGCATTGGCTGCAGCAACTGCCAGCAAGTCATTGCCGTAGTTGCGCAGCCTGTCTGCACATTAAACTTGCTGCAGCAATCAGCGCAGCCGGCCCTGCCGCCTTCTTCATAGGTAGCATGTGAAGGATCATTTTGCATGTATATTTGGAATTTCTGTGAGTTTGAGCGCATTGTGGCAGGCGATTGTAAAAAATGGCGGGTGTAGCTTGTTCAGCAGTCTTCCGCGATTCCAACGATAGTTGGGAAGTGGGTCACCTGCAGGAACACCGGAGTTGTAACTGATTGAAACGGTGAGTTGTGGTCCGTGCGGTGGCGATTAGGCACCATGGAGTATATATATAGTCAATGGCGGCGTGTGTGCTGTAGCTGGTGCGGACTTGTTCTTGCTGCCAGTGGCTGAAACCACCGCTCCCGCCTCGGAGGCCAGTGTTTCGCCAATGTCACTGGGCCCTCCTAATAATTTGCCGGCATATGCCGGTGCTGATTTCGCGCCCTGATATATATAGATATATATAAAACATTTTCATAATGCACGTGCATATTTATTACCTTTCCTCCAAACCCATATCGATATGTGTATGCTAACATAGGAATATCATCAAGCAACCGCAACACGTTCGACATGCGGATAGTTCATTACTCATTTTTCCAATCGAACAGAGTTTCTTTTACTAACAAAACCAGATAGCAGTAACGAGCCATAGCAGCCAGTTCGTAATATTTTATCACGACCCTGATGTAATGATAGAGTATAGACATTCTTTGCCATGGTCTGTGCCTTGTTTGTGCCGTTACAGAAGAGCACAGTCTAGCGGTTGCGCTGACTCGCGCGCGGTTGACACTATAGGGCCGAGGAAGTCGCGCGCTCCGTATGTATATGGTATGTATGTAGGTGGCGTAGCGGCGCTCGCTCTGTGTGGGTCGAGGAAGGTGCGCGCGCGTACAGGTGTTAGAATCTGGAAAGCAGTGTTTTTGACTTGGTGGATGTATCGTTTAGATGTGTATACTTGGTTAGTTAGTACTTTACGTCTTTATAGTATTTTAGTTTGGGGTTATTCTTAGTTATTTATAGGATGCTTTTGTGTACAGAGAGTCTAAAAGTTAGGTGGTGCTGGGGTGCATAGCGCAAGATTAAGCGCGCAGAGTTGGGTCGTGCTGGGCGTTATCGAGGCTATCCAGGTGACAGGATAGGGCCGTACAGGGCTACAGCTAGAGTCCGATTAGTTCTGTTCGCCCTATATACGCTAGATACGAATAGATTGGTAGACCAAATCCCAACGCACCGGATCATGGTCTACGAAAGTCTGGTGCAGAATACACTTTATGACCGTCCTAGTTGCGGCGGCAGTATGTGGGGCGCCTAACCCTAACCCTAACCCTAATTCTAACCCGTAATCTTCCTGTGGAACAACGTTGGTTATTGTTAGGTTAGGGTTATGGTTTCAGGGTCGTAGGGTGTCTGGGGGTCCGGGGGGTTAGAAGTTAGGGTTAGGGTTAGGTTAGGCGCCCCCATACTGCCGCGCATACTGGACGTTCGATGTAAGTGTATCTTGCACCGCAAAGTTCTCCTAGTCCCTTTTCTGCTGGAGGAATCGGGCGAGTAGACCGAGCTCGTGCGGGTATTGTTCCGCTTCCTCTCCGCTTAGGGGGGCGGTGCGCTTCTGGTGCAGATTATCGGTACGAAAGCTGTGCCAACCCTTGGGTTTATTCTCACACGAACTGGTTCTCGGCTATCTGGAGAACTTATCTAGTGTATGCGCAATATCTCTGGGTCTATTAAGCGTGAATGGTAACCTGCTTACAAAAGTAATTGCGAAGTGATCGAGCGGCGAATATACTTGAGCGCCATTTCTTTTGACTGTCTGATGCGTTACCGCGGTACATTCGGGTGGTGGAAGAGCTGGTTCGACGAGCCAGAATCGGAGGCGCTGAGTTTGCGAGGATCGCTCGTGCCCATGGCGCATTTGGAAATGCTTTTACGTCACCTGAGGTCAACAGAAATGTGGGCGCCTTCGGGAGTATCATTCGGCCGCGCGTCGTCCTTGCGGAGATTTGTTTGTAACGGTTTATATTGACGCTTCTAATTAGCGAGGCCGCCGGCGAGTATTGCGATACATAGTAAGTTCGCCGGGGGGGGCCGGTAACATATGCGGGAGAAAGGGGTTCGGTGGTGAGTGTATAAACGGCCAGTTTTGCGATAGTGTCGTTGGGTTGATGCTCCGGAACAGCGGGTGGGAGCCAGGCTGCATAACCGGCCGAGTCCGGGTGGCGGGGGGCGTGTGGGGCTGGGTTGATGTGCAGCGTCGGGGGCATTCCCGTCCCAGAAAAGGGGGATGGGAGACTTTGTGAAACCTATGCCGGTTCTGGGTTTGGGTTTACATTATGTGTATCGTACAATGAATACTCATATAAGTGTCTTATTTGGGTTGGGGGTTATAACTTATTTTGCGTGGTAGGCGGCGTGTATTTGGCACGACACGGGGGTTCATTTGAATTTTTCGTGCGAGATCGCATGGCAAATGGCATTGCGCTGCGAAGTGGGCGGGCGCGTATCGCCGCTTATTGGGCGTGAAAGAATACCCTACGGTTGCCTTGCGTACATCGGGCGGTGTTACCCTGTGCGCTGACTGTCGGATCGTGACTATGGTGTGTTACATGTTCACTTTCAGGTCGCGGGGTTATGTGTGCCGTTGTTTTTTGCGAGAACACTCCACTTGCGCTGGCGTTGCCGAGGTCTCTTAAAGATCATTGCGCGATTTACAACACAATCCAGACAGACCTCAGATGGTCTCGAGTCTTGCGGATTAGCCTGCGTCTCTCGCTCTGTATCTGTTGCGCGCGTGCAGGCCAGGACTGGATAGACGGTGCTTTTGCCTCTGATTTTGGTTGCTCTGAGTTGTCATTTGGTAAGCAATGGGGCGGAAATGATTTTTACGCACTGTGAGAGGACGGGTGGGGAACCCACGGAAGCGTGGGTTTGCGTGAAAACAATCTTTTAAGATTATTGTGAATACGACGCGTTTGGAAGGTGAGATGGGTTGCGAGACAGTAGTGCAGTAGCTAGGGTCGTAAAGCATTGTTAGAGAGGAACGCATGTAGTTTTTTTTTCGCGCGACATTAGCGGGTACGGGCCGCATGGCGATGGCGCAGCGGCATGCAGTTTTGGCACTGGATCCGGATCTCGGACGAAAATTTCAGGGATGAACCCCGGTTCGGTCGCTCCCGAAGTTAATCCTTCACAAAAGATAAAAAAGGTTATTATGGGACAGAGTTCGTGTCGGTGAGTCTAGTTACTACAGGATGATGTTGTGCTGGACGTTATTAGTTAGCTTTCTGTATACGTTCGAGTACCTATCAGCCCAGCGTACACGTGTTGACTGGTCGGCGAGTGTCAATGTGACCGCCCGCTCGCCCATGTGGTATAGTAGGAGCTTATACAGATATCTTGTTACGCGAGTGGGTATTTAGGGTGTGTGTAGTACCTCCTGTTGTTGGAGATTTTATAGTTGCAGGTATTTGCTTGTGCTATGGGGTATGTGGATTGTCAGTCGTGATTTGTAGGGTATTGTGATATGTATGTATGGGTTAGTGATTATGTAGGGTAGTGTATGGTGATCGTCCCATGTACTGGTATGTACCTGTATGCTTGTATGTATGTATGTATGTATGCTGATGCTCCACCCTGTTACGTTATGGTATGTATGTTATGGTATGTATGTATGGTGAAGTGTTATGTGCCTATCGTACTGTTGTATGTATCTATGTATGTATGTATGTATGTATGTTTATGTATGTATGTATGTATGTCATTGTATTCATGTATGTATGCTATGTTATGTATGTATGTATGTATGGGTGGGCTGGCCGCTATTGTGTATTGTATTGCTGATGTACGTGTAGTATGTATGTATGTGAGTCGGATGGGTGGTGCTAGTAGCGTATGTGTAGGTGTTGTGATGGTGAGTTGGTATGTCATGTATGTAGTATGTACTGTTTGCTGATGTTATGTATGTGTGCTATGGTATGGTATGGTAGTGCGTATTAGTGATGTGATCGTAGCTGTCAGGTGCTTATGTATGTCATGTTATGTGGTTATGTGTGTATGTGATGTTTTATGAGGTGCGTATGGTATGGGATGTATGTTTGTATGGATGTGTGTATCGTTAATGTATTACCTGTGGAGTGTATGTAGTGTATGTAGTGTGTATCCGTCATTTGTATGGTATGTGATCCCTCCTGTATGTTATGAATTGTATGCTATGTATGTATGGTTATGTATGTAGAGTGTGTGTATGGTATGTGAGTGTATGGGTTAGTGTTGTATGGTATGTTATCGCTATGGGGTGATGTTATGTATGTATGGTATGTATGTATGTATTTGTACGTATGGTAGTGTATGTAGAGTATGTTATGTATGTATGTATTCGTATGGTATGTATCGTCATGTGATGTATGTACTGTAGTGTATGTGTGGTATGGTATGTATGTATGTATGTATGTATGTGATGTGTTATGTATGCTATGTATCGTATGTATGTATAGTAGTGTATTCTGTATGTATGGTATGTTATTGTATGTATGTATGTATTGTGATTGTAGTATGTATGTATGTATGTATGGGTTATGTATGTATGTATGTATTGTATGTATTTGCTTATGTATGTAATGTATGTATGGATGTTATGTATGTATGTATGTATTGTATGTTACTGTATTGTAGTATGTATGTATGTAATGTAGTGTGATGTATGTATGGTATGTAGTGTATGTATCTGTATTATGTATGTATGTATTGCTATGTATGTATTGTATGGTATGTATGTGGGATTATGTATGTATGCTATGTATGCTATGTATGTTATGTATGTAATGTATGTATCGTGTATTGTACTGTATGTAATGGTATGTATGGTATGTATGTATGTTATGTATGTAGTGTATGTATGTGATGGCTTATGTATCTATGTATGTATGTATGTATGTATGTATGTGTATGTAGTGTATGGTATGTATGTATTGTATGTATGTATGTATGTATGTATGTTAGGTGGTATGTATGGGTACTGCTCTATGGTGAGTGTTGTGATGTGATGTATGTATTATGTATGTATGTATTGTATAGTATGTTATGTATGTATGATGATGTTATGTATGGTGATGGTATGATGGTATGTATGTATGTATGTATGTATGTGATAGTATGTATGTATGTATGTATGTATGGCTACGTGGGTATGTACGGTGGTTGGTAGTTGTATGTGTGTCATGTATGTATGTGTATGTAGTTGTGATGAATATGTATGTATTATGCTTGTATGTATGTATGTATGGTTCAGTGGTATGTGATGTATGTGATGTATGTATGTTATGGTGCATGTGTGATGTAGATGGTGTTCGATGTAGGTTATGGTGTATGATTATTATGATGTATGTCCATGTGATGTATGTATGTATGTATGTATGTATGTATTGTATGTATGTATGTATGTATGTATGTATGTAATGTATGTATGTATGTATGTACTGGGTGAGGAGGCTGATATGGTGCATGGTATGGTGGAGTGTGTAGGTGTATGTATGTATGGTATGGGGTAATGTATGTATGTATTAGTATGTATTGTATGTATGGGTATGTATGTATGTATGGATGCTATAGTATGTCAAATGTATGGTATGTAGTCTGCTCACTGTATAGGTGATGTATGTATGTTATGGGGGATGCTGATGTATGTATGTTATGTGTATCTTGAGTTATGTATGGTGACTGTATGTAGGTGTCTGTATGTATGTATGTATGCTATGTTTTATGTATGTGTGATTTGTAGCTGTAGTGGGTTATGGTAGCTGTATTGGTTATGTAATGGTATGTATGATGATTTGTTGTATGTATGGTTAGTGTAATGGGGCTTGTATGGTAGTGTGATGTGTATGGTGTGTATGTTGTACTGTGGATGTGTGTGATTATGTATGGTGAGTGTATGTTGGATGTGATGTATGGTATGTCATGTATGTTATGTATGTGATTATGTGAGTATGGGTACTGTGTATGCTATGGTATGTATGTATATATATCGTATGTGTGCCTTATGTATGCTATTCGTACTGTATGTATGTATGATATGTATGTATGTTGTATGTATGTGATGTATGTATGAGTATGTATGTATGTATGTATGTATGTGTTGTAGTTGTATGTATGGTATGTATGTATGTATGTATTGTATGTTATTTATGTTATGTATGTTGTATGTATGTATGTATGTATGTATGTATGTATGTATGTATGTATGTATGTATGTATTGTATGTATGTATGTATGTAATTGTATGTATGTTGTATGTCAATATATGGAGTTTAGTATGTATGTGATGTGTATGTATCGTATGTATGTATGTATGTATGTATGTAGGTATTGATTGTATGTATGTATGTATGTATGTTGTATGTATGGTATGTATGTGTATGTATGTATGTATTGTATGTTATGTATGTATGTATGTATGTATGTATGCTATGTTATTGTATGTAATTGTATGTAGTGTATGTAGTGTTATGTATGTATGTTTAGTATGTATGTATGTATGTATGTATGTATGTATGTATGTATGTGATGTATGTATGTATGTATGTATTGTATGTATGTATGTATTTGTATGTATGTATGTATTATTATGTATGGTATGATTATGTATTGTAGTGTATGTGTATGCTATGTTGTTGTATGTATGTATGTATGTATGTTGTATTTGTATGTATGTATGTATGTAGATGTATGTATGTTATGTATGTTTGTATGTATGTAGTGTATGTATGTATGTATGTATGTATGTATGTATGTATGTATGTATGTATGTATGTATGTTATGTATGTATGTATGTATGTATGTATGTATTATGTATGTATGTATGTATGATCGTACTGTATGTATGTATGTATGTATGGATGTATGTATGTATGTTATGTATGTTATTGTATGTATGTATGTATGTATGTTTATGTATGCAGTGCGTCGCGAAATAAGAAAAAAATGTGTTGTCCATGCCGGACAACCCGGCATCAATCGGGTGTCGCACAATTTCTGGTTGCCAAAAAAATATCCGCAAATCTCCTATTTTCAATCACATAATAATATGATCAGAAAAACACAAAAAAACAGTGGCGTAGCCAGGATTTTTAACAAGTTGGGACCCAAAAACAGCAACTGCGCAAAATAGTGGATGACTTAATATTTGACTGGCTCCTCCGCCTCCCTCTCCACACCTACGGCTCCTCTACCTTCTCTGCAATACTTTGTTTTGGGTGCCATGCGAAAAGGCGACATTTTGCTTCATTGTTCTCTGCTCCCAAGATATGTAATTGTTCAGTGCGGGTTTTAGATTCCAAAAGAGGCGAGGGTGTGAAAAACAGCGCCGATTGTGGTGGGGGAGGGTATGGGGGTCCTCCCCCAGAAATTTTAGAACTTCGTTGCGCTTTGCTGCGTTGCCAATCGAGTTTTACCTCTCACAAAATCAGAAACCTGACATATACCAGTGTTGGAAATAGCAGCTGCGTCCCATATTTTTATATTATTCACGATTTAATTCACGATTAAGATTTCTGACTGAAGCCTAGAAAACACGCGGCATTTGAATATGAAACTGAAACACTTATTGTGCCAAGCTGCCTACACCAGTGGTTGGGATTGGCAGTGGTCAGTTCAGATGCAAAATTTGAAAGACAAAAGGTTATACAACATAAGATTAATGGGTACACGCGGTATATATTTAAGCATAGCCGCAGCCGTTTAGAGGCAGTTTAGGGTTAGGGATAGTGTTTCTGGTTGTCCACCGGACAATGTCTCAGACTGGTTAGGTTGTCCGGCGCAAATTCTTGGTTGTCTCGGACAACCGGACAACGCTTTATTTCGAGCACTGGTATGTAATGTAATGTTATGTAATAGATATAGATAGATGAGAGATATAGATATGTGTGTGTGATGTGTGTGTGGTGTGTTGTGTGTGTGTGTGTGTTATGAACGGAACTGTAGATCGGTGTTTTGCCTTTTTTATTTTTGAGTTTCCCACTCGGCTAATATTCACTTTACCGGGAGATTTTGTTCCGCCGAGCTTCCAGGCTGATTCCAAGTAATGTTTCACCTGCTCTACCCAATCCCCATAACATCTATGTTCATTTAGCCACAAGATGGTGAGCATCACCTGCCTTTCCTCCAGCTGTGCACAATTTATTGGTCTACTGCAGAGATGGCCTTCTCTGGGTCATTTATGCATGATAGTGTGCACAATCCTATTCAGAATAGTATTCCTAGTGGTAGAAGGATAGTTTGCCCCGGCGCTTATTTTCACAAATGATGTGGACCAAAAATTGACCATTTTCTTTGCCAATGTGTTTTCCAGAGAAGCAGCAATTGCAGTTGCAGTTGAAGCTACATGTGATTTTAACTATATATACGGTAATGGCTGTTGTCAAGGAAACCTCTCTTGGATGGCTACTTGATCACAATCTTCTCCTGAATCGGTGGCATGGAAGTGTGAATCAGAATGACGAACATTCAATTAATGGTATTATGAACAGCACTGGAACACATGAAAGTTCGAGTGGTACCGTAGGCTACGAATCCGATTCAAGATTATTTGCAATCAACTCAGCTTTCCTCCGAAAAAATCAACTTGGGAAGTGTAGCCAGCAAGCAAACGGTGATCCTGCTGAGTTTATGACTTGTCTGCGTGAAGTCCCGGTGGCTCGAGACCCTTCTTTATATGCATTTGCGGACAGGAAAGGACAGGCAGATAATACTTGGGATCCTGTCAGCAACTCTACTGTCTGTCGACTGTCATCTTTGGTCGGTGACGAGGAAGTCATAAACTCCACTGGGCTGGAGTCTAAGCAACATGTTAACCTGGGCATAGATGTAGCATCAGCTCATGGCGGATTGTGTCAGGATAAAAAAATGTGCTTACAAAAAGGAAAACTGCATAAGAAGGCACGTCGCAAGAGGAAGGTGCCACTCAATTCTGGGGAGGAAGCTGCACTGGAGTACCATGACAAGGTATTCTATTTTGTCTTTCTAGCGGAGTGAGTGTAAAAATGACATTCCACGTCTTTATGATTATTCATGTATAGTGAGCATCATTCTGTTTGATTTTTGATGGTTATGGTCACAATATAAGTCTGTTAAATGTTAATATGGGTGTGTCACTCTGAAATTAGAATAACCACGTGGTATTCCATTTAATGATTTTACTTGTTTAGAAAATATATATTAAACATGTTTTTCTTGTATGTTAGTTCATATCGTTTATCTCATTGTGTTGTAATTACAGATTAAAGGTTTTTTATTACAAGCGATGGAACAGCTTATGAATTATGTCAAAGGAAATGAGTTCTCTCTCACCAGGGAATCGTTGTATCATCAGCAAGAGGAAAGTGTTGTGCTAGTGCCCCATAAGCAAGCAGATTTCAACTCCAGATCAGTTCATGAGAGTGAGTGTATAACAACTTTTATACGTGGTTTTATCTTTTCAGCTTCATGAGCAAGGATGTTAAAATTTTTGGTGAAAGTGCATCTTATTGCATTGTAAGTTTGGTAGCAACATTGCCCAAAATTAAACATATATATATGCTTAAATGAATTTATGTATTGCTGATGGTGCCACGTGCTAAACTAGTGTTCTGCACCAGGGATAGGAAGTGATTCTCTATCCACCAGTTAGATTTCAATTATAAGGTAATGTTGACAAGTCTTGTAACATATTGTAGATGATGTGGACCCAAATGCTGAGGCCAGAGCAGCAGCCTTGATCGAAGGCCCTCGGTCAAAACTTATTGATGCCTGTAGACTGACAATGGAGAAATTCCCGCAGAGAGTACAACATTTTACTGGCAGTAATGTGCTCTTCATGTGTTCTTAGACAAAAATTATCTATTGCTAAAATTGTTCCTATTAGATATATGTGACCCGCTCCAGCATAATACGGACTAAGTTGCAAGTCATTGTTTTGAGTAATGAGCACGTACACATGTCAATGCTGAAAATGGCCTACCTGGACAAAAATGAGATTTTTACAAAAATAAAAGTCTTTTTTCAAGGACTTCTGACCGCTCATCCACGACTGGGCCCCTTACCCGGAACGCTTTATCTCAAAGGCTGCATATTCCGGAATACGTCGGTTTCCGATCTTCAACTTGCTGTAGATCGGTCAATTCTTTAGATATAGCCAAATATTATATATCATTTTAAAGGTAATTAAATGATCTATTCAGATATGCACATAACTCAATTTGTAGAATTTCCTACTTAATCCTGATTTTGCTGGAGCGGGTCACATATGTACACCAAGGTTCTCCAAGGACACTTATAGCCTGGTGGCCTATCGTCGAGCCCCGCCATCCTAAATATCATAGCCGCCATGCTGGTGTATACACAAGAAGTTCAAACAACGGTCTTAATGCTATGGGTACAGCAGTCCCACACACAAGTACAAACAGTCTCTCTATCCCTAACCCTAACACTAACTCTAAACCGACTCAGCTATCTTATATACTGCTATGTTATAGTACCAAAAGTAATCTATGGTGTATAACCTTTTGCTTTCAATATTTTGCATCTGAACTGACAATCAATCCCAACCAACTGGTGTAGGCTAGCTGGCACAATAATGTTTATTTTCATACTTCAAATCCGAGCGTTTTCTAGCTCATCAAGAAATAATTATTTTGAATTTTCCGATGGCTTTGCCCATGCAAAACAAACATTTTCACCCCACATGCAGTGCTTCAAATTTACACACAGAGTGTCCCAGATTGCATCTCAGCGCTTCTACAATTCAAACATTTTCCGGGGGGGCATGCCCCCGGACCCCCTAGCAGTGAGTAGCACCCCCATGCTATAATTTAAAAGCTTGGAGAACCCTGTACACAAGAAGAAATGCTGTGCTGAACACACAAATATGATATCTCAGAGTCCCTTCATGATTGCTATGCCTAATGATTGCATACAGGTATAAATACATAAATAGATTAATGTATAGCTATTAATACGATTCTGTGTATGTCTATGTGTGTACATCTAGGTGACCTAGGTGCTCTACCAGCAGTGGTTGACTGCCTCGTGACATACACAGGCACAAGACCATGCTTGGCCTGGTGGCTAGGCAGTGAGTTTATCATTCCTGCAAACTCTTCATTTCTTCTGTCTGACTTCAGTCGCTTGGAACCGCTTCTATCACGTAAGTGTGTTACATTTTTTTGTCCGAGTTGCACTTCGTTAAGTCTGTCATGTGGATTTCTTCTTCGTGTGAGATCTATGTTGTGATTTATATGGAATCTTACTGTTTGGTTGTTAACTTAATTGAGTAATTCTGGTCACCCATACTAAATAAGATAGTACCAGGAGTGAATAATAATAGAGGAGTATGACTCGCTCGAAATGCAAGAAATTAAACATTTCCATGCCCAAATTTACCTGCGATTTATTACGCATAACCCAACAAAGCTGACGTCAGAACTAGCGCTGTACATCCAAATTGCCCCCACACTTTACTGTGTATCGATATCTCTTCTAATTATATAGTTATAGCTACGAACATCAGACATGGTTTTAATTAGTAGAACCAATTAATCAAATTAGTAGTGGGCTCTGACCACTTGAAGTGCAAATAAACAGATGTCGTATGCCTTACAGTTATGTAAAATTATCCGGAATCAGAAGCGTTCATTTTTGGCGCCATTTTGGCAGTTTTTACAGTGTAAAATCGCGAGTTGCAAATCCCTGCCGAACCCCGCCAACAGCGTTATCACCGCGAGCTGCCTCTTTTTTACGCTAATGCGTGGGAATGTTAGCCACTTTGCCGTGTCAATGACTAAAACCATGTCTGACGTTCAAAGCTATAACTACATAATTAGAAGAGATATCCATACAAAGTAAAGGTGTTAGGGCAAATTGGATTTACAGCGCTAGTTCTGATGTCATTTTTATTGGATTTCACGTAATAAATCGTATGTAAATTTTGGCATGGAAACGTTAAGTTCCTTGTGTTTCAAGCAAGTCATACTCCTCTATTATTATTCACTCCTAATAGTACTAATTCACGGAATTTATATTACTGTTAATGGATTGGTTTATTTAATAATTAAAGGCAGGAAGAAATATGATTTGGTCGTGATGGACCCACCGTGGGAAAACAAATCAGTCAAGAGAATGAAAACGTAAGCCATCAGGGTTACATTTTTGCATTTAGTTATTATAGTAAACGTCATCTAAATTATAATACTAGCAAGGTCAATAAATTGTTTGGGGGACATCCTTTCACATTGTGCGATGTCAGCATGTAAAATAATTTTTACGCATCTCACATAGTGTTATCTAGGCATGTTGTCTGATGATCATCATGATTATTGTAGTTTGAAATGATATGGTTTTAGATATGGCACACTAACTGACTGGGATCTCTACAAGATACCAGTGTGTCGGCTCTGTGCCCCAGGATCTCTGGTGGCCGTGTGGGTGACTAACAAGCAGAAACAAATCAGGTTCGTAAAGGAAGAACTGTTTCTACATTGGAATGTGCAGTACATTGCCACCTGGCACTGGCTAAAGGTAATAGACCGTTTGGTTACCGATAGATTTATGTGACTTAGCAGCATTGATACACACAATGTTATATAATAATATATATATATATATATATATATGTAGCATGTAAAAATATAGTACAGTACACAATCTATTATCCGAAATTCTGAAAACTGAAAAGCTCCAAAAACTGAAGGTTTTTTCGTGGAGGTCGTCTGCACACCAAAGCTTGCGTTTGGCTGCACAAGGTTCACTGCAGAAATATTAATGTGTTTGGTATTACTCATACATATTGTACTGTACCGGTACAGCACTTGGCCTCATGAAAACTTGGGTTTTATTACTGGCTAGTTGCAGGATATACGGTATGTATATCTGTACTGTACTACCATTCCGAAATCTAAAAAAAAACCGAGTTCCGAAACGTATCTGGTCCCAAGGGTTTCGGATAATAAATTGTGTACTGTATATTGAAAAAGCGAGTCTACATACTCCAGGGCTCGAATTAAGCGACGAGAAGGCCAAGGCAATTTTTTTAGGGCATGTGAGAAATCGCCTTGAATTTTCTCTAAAATAGAAAGGCACCAAGGCAACTCTCAAAATTTGAGAAGGGCACCAAGGCACTTTTGTAAAATAAAGGAAAACTCATAACAAATTAGTACATCAACATCGTCTTGCTTTTAATGTACAAACAATATGCCCCAATTTAACTACCAGCCGAACACTGACCCCTGCTAGCCCACTCTGCCTAATGGAGTACAGTAACAGACGAAATTTTTACATTGCCCGCTATAGGAGCAAATAATTATCCGAGCTGGCGGTTATTATTCCCTTCGCGACTATCGTTTAACTATCTCATCATTGCACACTACCAGCAGCTACGCCGCACGTGTTATGTTTGATTCACTAAAAACAAAACTAGGCCAGTAGATTTAAAGCCCACCGAGGCAATGTACACAAAAGGGCAAGGCAGGTGACTGCCGTTCGCGTCGGGTTGGATTTTCAGGGGCCGTACGGCCGATTGATAGGGGCCCGACCGGCAAATTGCCGTCGGTGCGTCGCTCGTTCATTCTGAGCCTCTGCTACATACTCAATGAAGTTACTATGAACAGGAGTAAATAAAATAGAGTGCTATATTATATACTCCTGTTAAGAACCATGTTAGTTATCAGTGATTGATAGATCTCTATTTGGTTTACCTTGTGTACTATCCTGAAGTCACCTTGTTACCAGATAACATCACTTCAAATGTTATGCGTAATGTAAAATAAAATTATAGTGTTTGTAAATGTTTTACATTGTATTGTAATGTTTGTAAATGTTTTACATTGTATTGTAATGTTTGTAAATGTTTTACATTGTATTGTAATGTTTGTGTTAGTGGAAGTTGTACTGCAGTATGAATTAGAACTAATTAATTCTTATATCTTTAGGTGACAACCCAGGGAGAGCCTGTGTGTAATATAGAGTCTGAACACAAAAAACCATATGAACACCTCATTATTGGGATATGCACTTCACAAAACAGAGTGCGACACAGAAAAATGCTTGCAGGGAATGGTACTGGAATAAGAAAAACAGATAATGGAATGGAAGTTACTAAATGTGACATTGAAATGGAGGTCAATAGAATAGGAGTGGCAGAGAGTGGAATAGGAGGGACAGACGGCTCAATAGGAGTGGGAGACACTGGAATAGAAGTGACAGACAATGGAATAGGCATGGCACACAGTGGAATGGAAGTGGCACACAGTGGAATAGAACTTGCAGACGCCAATCGGAAAGCAGTAGACCAAGCAATGAGGTTTCCAGACAGGTGTAGTGCACCAACAGGCAGCAGAACCAGAGACAAATGTTCTCCCTGTGCAAACATTCCGGATCATCAAGTACTAGTCAGTGTCCCTTGCAGCATACACTCCAGGAAGCCTCCTCTCTCCGGTAAGACCATCAAAGTCAGATAGTACAAGGTACTGTACTGTTGGCTGTCTTATTTATCTGGCTGTTTGTCATGTTTTCAACATACACGTTATTAGGACGTTTTAGATGTGCTTTCAAAACGTTTTATGATAGAGTGTTGTTCACTGGTAGCATAACTTGACGTTATCTTGTGTTTTGTAGAAGTACTTAGGAAGTATGTAGCGCCTGGTTCCCAGTGTCTTGAGATGTTTGCGAGGAACCTGGTTCCAGGATGGACTTGTTGGGGTAATGATGTAAGTATAAATATCATTGTTATCTGTGTAATGCAAAACAGTTACCAAATCATTCTTTTTTAAAGATTTTCGAATGCAATAAATGCCATGTAATCAAAGCTGTTTGTTTAAAGGCTCACAATGCGCATCGAAACGCTAATTTCTCCAGTACTAGACTAGCAAATACTTCGTGTCATGCATAATCATACTACCTTATGGCAAAATAAACTCTAGTTCCTCCCATTTCACTGCGCGTTGTCTTATAGAAGGTATTTGAAAATACCTCCAATGTTGTTCAAATTCTCCGATGTTGTTGACAGTTTCCCCAATCAACCGTGCAGCGGTGCTGCGGTACAGCGGTACGGGCGCAGCAAAGATAAAAACATGTGACGTCACGTCACCACTTCGAGGCTATATTATTTGGCAAACAGTCGGCGTTTGCGCCAGAATGCCAGTTTTCTCACCTCTTTCTTGTGGGTTTTAAGCAAACGCGCAGTGAAATGGAAGCAACTAGAGTTTATTTTGTCATAAGGTAGTGTGATTATGCATGACACGAAGTATTTGCTAGTCTAGTACTGGAGAAATTAGCGTTTGGATGCGCATTGTGAGCCTTTAAGCAACTGGCAATTGTTTTATTATCATTAATTTATTTAATTATTGAGTGAGGAGAAACCACGAGCATATATGCTCATCAACATGCTATCTCTCTCTCATTGAACAAATCTTGTAATATTTCCGTGATTGATTAGTTGTGATGAAGGTTCAGGAGTAGAAATTATAACAATTGGGATTAACGGTTAAATTAGCGGACACTGCCCTCATATATAAGGAGGCAAGTAAATATACTACTGCAAAGTATAAGGGAGTCCGTTCCCTGAAATTAAAACTAAAGCTAGCATTTATGCATATACAATGCCCACAAAAAAAACAAATTGTATATTACTGTAGAATGCAATTTTAAAACCCTAAAAGCTGTATTGTGTTCAATTATATTAGATATTTGGTTATCTATATAGCACAATTTTCAGGTAGTGCGGACTCATGGGTATGTAAAATCTGGGATTTGAAAGGGATACATGACCCTCGGTTCCTTGCATATTTTCAGTTAAAATAGGTTTAACAAATTTCACTGTTCAATATTCATTGGGAATTTTTTTTTTTTAAGTCTTAAAACTAACGACTGTATCATTGCTTACAACGCCGGTGGCACCACTACTAGTACTAGCCCATTTGATTTCAAAGTTGTGCATTGCAACTTTTCAGCTGCAGACTAAAGTGCAAGGGTGTTTCTTAATATTAACTTAAGAGAAATATAGCAATATCTTATAAACAACTTTTAGATTCAGTTATAATATGGACGAATTTGTCCTAAAATAAATATCGTTCAGCTAATAGCAGTTGGGTATAAATATAATTGCACTTTTGTGATTAGACCTCGGTCTGTAACAAGCAAAATAAATTGGGAAAAGCGCAACTTTGTCAGGGTGGCAGCACAATCGTGAGGTGTTATGTCAGCAGCCAAAAATAAAGATTTTCGAAACTCACTGTTTCTTTATGACAAATGTGAATGCATGATTATAGAAATTTGTAGGTATATACTATTAATTTTGCACTTACTATCATAGTATACCCTAAAATTCTAGGGTGTTGTATCCCTTTAATTTCGACACCTAAAGGGTTTATGAGCAGTTATGGATTGGCCCAAAGCAATAAACAGGTCTGTTATTAGACCAGATGTGTTAAAAAAAAATTGCAGACAATTGACAGTCCTGTTATTTCCATTTAGTTGTAGAATTTAGTGAACCTAATTAAATTTCTATTTAAAACTGAGCCTGTTGGTGAAATACACATTTATTATTTTATTTCTTTTTTTCATTACAGTCATACATCCAATATATTTGATATATTTGCAACTACCTGCCCTAAACCCCTAGGCAGGTAGTTGCAACCCCTAGGTATGCAAAACTAGTTCCATTTTGCATATGATTATGTGGTGAAAATAGGCTCCCCCCCCCTACACCCCCATATTTGTTCAACTTTTGTCTTATGGTAATAATTCTGTGTGCAGTTACTAGGAATGTCAAAGAATTTATACAATCACGTTGGACCCTTTGCATATTAGAGTAACTGCATGACGTTTATGATCATATAATTACAGTGATTCTATAATTTCCAAAAATATGTTGTACGTTTTGTATGTTTGTTATAGTGTGTACTTTTGAGCAATTTGTTGAATCATGAAACATTATACACAGATAAAATAGGTTTAAAAAAACTACACTACATAAAAATTTGTAGGGTTCAATATTCATCAGAAATATTTTTTTTAATGTTTTAAAACTGACGGCTAGACCGTTGCTTACAACGGCGGTGGCGCCACTGAAAGCGCATCCACTAAAATGTTGCGCAAAGCAACGTTTCGGCTGCAGGCTACAGACCGAGGGTGTTTCTTATTTTTTAATTTAAGAGCAGAAGGATTGTAATATCTTATAAACGACTCTTAGTTTCAGATATAATATGGACGAATTTGTCCTAACATAAATATCGTTTGGTTAAATAGCATTTAGGTATAAATATAATTGCACTTTTGTTATTAACCCTCGGTCTGTAACGTGCAAAATAAATTGGCAAATGCGTAACTTTTCAGGGTGGCAACACAATCGCAGGTGTCATGTCAGCGCCCAAAAATGAAGATTTCGAAATTCAATGTTGTTTTATGACAAACGTGAATGAATAATTATAGAAATTTGTAGGTATATGCTATTATTTATGCATTTACTATCATAATATACTATAAACTTCTAGGAAAAAGTATCCCTTTAAATGCACCTATTTGTAAATGCAGAGAGTTATTTGTTGCATTACGTTATTAGCTCGCATTGACATTGTCAAGATGAGCTATTGCCATGGGGTGTCGTCGGTCGTAAGTCCGTCTGTCCGTCTGTCCGTCTGTCAACATTTGGCTAATGTCAACGATAACTCAAGAAACGTTTGACCCACATGTTTTAAATTGCATGCAGTTGTTACTCCTATGGGAGAGGTTTGAACGTCCTATTTTGGAGCACGCCAGTCGACCTACTTTCGAGCCACGTCCACTTTTTGGCAAAAATGGAAATGGCCATAAGTCAGTTCAGGTTCAATGGATTTTGCTCATTTCTAGTATGTGAATGAATAAGGACTGGCCCCAAAACATATCACACGGGTTTTGATATTTTTTAATATCATGCAAATTAGGTAGATTTTGGCAATTTCACTATGCATTTCAGTGTCTGCCTATGGTCAACGATAACTCAAGAACCATATTTCAAATTGTATACAGTTGTTACTCCTATGGGAGAGATTTGAACGTCCTATTTTGGGGCACGCCAGTCGACCTACTTTCGAGCCACGTCCACTTTTTGGCAAAAATGAAAAAGGCCATCTAAATTCATTCGATTTTGTTAAATTTTGGTATGTGAATGTGTAAGGCTAGCCCCAAAACAGTTGTTACTCCTCTGGGAGAGATGACAACGTCCTAGCTATTACGTTTATTTCGTCTAACTGGTTAACAACTCTACAATCATACCTATATACGTGTAATATTGTGTTTTAGATTCTTCGTTACAGTAATTTGACTGGAATATTTTATTGTTTTTATTTGCGCGATATTCGAAAACCAAAATGGCGATCATTTAGGTGTAGCGCCATCTCTTGTCAAGATTTCAGACTTTCAGATCTGAAACATTTATTTTCGCATCAAAACTTATGCATATATATCATTATCAAGAGTATATAATTATAATAGGAGATATGCTATATCATGGGAGTTCTCCCATATATACTCTTGCTTTATATATCCCCCCTCCCTCTTCTATCACACTCAAGGTGAGCTACAGTGTCATCACTTTCATTTTTTATAGGTACTGAAATTTCAACACGTTGATTATTTCGTGAAAAAGCCTCTTGAGGTCAAGCAGGATGACCATGCCAGAATTGAGGAATCTACGAAATCGTAGTGCAAGTCGTGAGTTCAAACTACATACTGCTTGTCTGAAGCATGGATGTAGTTTTCAAGAAAAACTTCCCCCTACGTTGTGTCTTGTTGGTGGGTCCATGTGGGCATGCCTGCAAGCGTAGGCCTGCAGCCTAGGAGCAGAACACTAATTCTGTGCACTCTACTTTGGAAGCACTGAGGGTGTGGATTCAGTGTGAAAAGTCGGGCATGCGTAACATCAATATCTGCCTGTCCTTATGCGACCATGCTGGGAGCTGTTAGCAGGTGATGCTCGCTAAGCAGGTAACATGTGCAGCGGCTCACGGCCGAACACAGGTGCTGCGACAGGCGCGGGAGACAAGAGAGCATCTGCCGATGGGTTCACCTTGATCAGTCGAGTGTGTCGACAGTGCGCTGCAGGGCAAGTCAAGTTGACCTGTCTGCCTACACATGTTCTGCGTGGCTCATCGCCCACCCAAACCCACACCTACTTTACGTGCGTTAAGGCGAACAATACCTGGCAATCCGGTTTCGTTGTACCTCCTAGCCCAGTGTGCAGGCAGACGGGCAGCATTGCTTGCAGGTCAGCGCTGGATGCTTGTGCTGTGCTGCAGTCTGTGAGCTCTCCACCTCGTATGATTAGCAATGGCTGCATAGGTGGGAACTACCGGATATCTATTGGACCAACGGACATGGAAGCGTTTATGCAATAAGTACAGGTGAGTGGTAGAGCAGTGAGAGTGCTGACACCAGCTGCTGATCCCTGTTGAAGTAACGTAGTAGCTGTAGTAGGCGGTTATGCTATGTCCTTGCTTGAAGGCTGGGCGACTCTGCTCAGTGCAGGTTGAATTTGTCATGATATAATCAGGAGTCTATCATATTGATCTATGGATAGACTCCTGATATAATCATCGTAGTGTTCATAGGTTCATGGTATCAGAGTTAGGGAAATGTGTGCAATCCACATGTGATTTTGTCATTTCGGATGTGTGCTATAATTAAATTGGTCAATCCATATTGTGTGGTAAGTTTAAAGGTTTTAGTGTACATAGGTTTTGTCACAAACGTTAGCATTTCTCAATCACTGCGAAATATTACTGTAGTGAGAACCTGCATCCAACCCTCATATAGTGTTTACTGTCTGTCAACGAAACCAATATATATAGGGTCCAGTTCAAACCAAATGGATTTAAAATCAGGTTCAGTAGACTGTACCAGCTAGACACCTGCTATGCTCTGTAGAATTTTATAAGTCTAGGTATGTAGAAGGTGAATACCCCCAGGCCAATGAACGTAAACCAAAGCGAACAGACTGAGCAAGAGTAATATGTATAGTTTCTGTAGGGCCACTTGAGTCGACTGCCAAGGTTAAAAACGCAGCACCATGTTTTACATAAAAAATGTTCTTCTAATTGTCGTGTCTTAACGAGATTAAATGTAGGTCAGCAGGATCCTATGTTTGTGTGTGTGCGTGCGTGCGAGCCTGTGCGCGCGTGTGTATATTGGGGCTCATCGGGTCTATGTCCCCCAGGGTACATGGGTTTGATCCGGTATACCGGAACGTACCCTGGTAACTATCTGACATGGTTAGGGTTAGGGTTAGGAGTAGGCGTAGGCGACTCCCTAGACTCGTTAGTGGAGTAGGCGAGGTACGGTCCGGCATATTAGATAGTACCAGGGTACGTTCCGGTATACCGGACCGTACCCAGGGTACGTTCCGGCAGTACCCTTGGGGACATAGACCCTCTCAGCTATACTAGGTGAAAGCTAGCAGGTTTTGTATGCAGTTGTTCTATGGTACATTTACCACCTGGCTGCACGTAATTACAGTGTCCTGTGAAACATGCGCTGGCGCATGTTTAGTTTAAGCAGGCTGTTCACGAAACACGCCATAGAACATTTCTTTAAATGTTTGTGTCCGTGTGTGCATGTCTGCACGTGTGTGCATGTCTGCACGTGTGTTTGTGCGTCGGTGTGTGCGTGTGTGTATGTGCGGGCATGTGTAACAATCTATAATGTTTGTAAGTGTATCGGTAGCATGCGCAGGGATGCCTCGGAGGCAACATTTTGTCATGGTGTACGGCTGCGTGCTTTTTTGAATATTCAGGCTGCGTGGGATTTGGTGAAGAATTTCGAGATAGAAAGTGTTGGCAATTGGCTTTAATAGCGTTCTGCTAACGGAGTGAATGCTAAGACGCTTGCATTAGGCACGGAATCTCATCGGTAGCTTTAGCCCGACCAGGTTCTACGACCGCCTCGTCATAACATTGTAAACATATCGCCACGCCGTAATAAGCTGCGTGGTTAATTATTGTGGCGCTGGTGGCATCAGCACTGCGCTTGCTTGTCCGCGCTTGTTGCTTGTTGCGGCTCTTCCGCGAGCTGTGCGCCTGAGTCATGATGTCTAGGTGTGGTTGTAGAGGGCGTGTACTAGAGCCAGTTGTAGGTAGATCCGGCGTCTGTGTGCGTGGGTGGGTGTGTACAGCGTGGGTGCGTGCGTGGGTGTGTACAGCGTGGGTGCGTGCGTGCGTACGTGCGTGCGTGCGTGTGAACGGGGTGGCGACTATCCATCTGAGTGTAGGTGCGTGTGCGGGACAACGCGTGCAGAGCTGTACTCTTTTCTCTACTCCGGTAGATTCTCTTCTGTCTTTCAACATAACAAATGGTCGATCGTAGCTTCAATATGTTATGTTCATTTTCAGAATTCACTGTCATATAGATATTTTCACGGAGCAATATAATTCGCGGGTATGTTGAATGTTTGATTCGCATGCCCTCCCCTATTTCATTTGCCACTCCCAACTCAAGCCCCATCGACGGAACCATCACGCAGAGCTTTCTTAGTATCTTACCTACATCTATTATTACTGGCCTTACTAGCTGTTATAGATTGCTTGCGCGGGCACATTCAGGTCTTCTACAGTCACGAACATAATACTTGAACTAAGCTCTCGCTACAAATACTGCTCAGGGACGGCATGCCATCGGGCGAGAGACGCGGCCCAGATAAGAACAGCGCAGGCAAAGTTTTGCCGCGAGGTCTCTCTGGTTCGGCACAAGCAGTTTCTACACGCTATTCACATTCCGTCAGACATCCGTGCAGAGAACGTGAGCGTTGTCGTGGTGCGGCGATGATATATAGCGTCTTAGATGTGGATTACACGCTGCTATGCAGTTACGCCCGGTGTTTTAACAACCTGCATCTACGGTATGGTTGAAACTGGAGCATGCTGACAACCCGAGGAGTGAATGTTTTTATCTCCCTGATATCGGTTGTGAAGTTGCAGCTAGAGGTGCCATGTACGACGGCGTGACAGCTGTGCAGTGACGTCATACTAACGACGAGATGCGTCACATTGGCCTTTATGCGAGTCGTTCCCCCGCGTACATCTGTACAAAGCAATACGACTTAATGGCTCATCGAATCCACTCAAACACCACTTTACCAAAATCACGCAATAATTGCGTTCCACGTAAGCGCCGAGGACAGGTGTAGCCAAGTACACATGGCTGGATCGGAGTCATGTATACTTGCACATGGGGTAAGGAGGGAGACCCGTGCTTGCTATGTAGTTGATCCGACAGGGAGTGGGCACGGAGGGGACCTGTGCTTGCTATGTGGGTTGAGGGGGTGGGTAGGCACGGAGGGGACCTGTGCTTGCTATGTGAGTTGAGGGGGTGGCTGGGTACATAGAGAGAGACCTGTGGTTGCTAGGTGGGAAGAGGGAGTGGGTCAGACCGGGATGGAATCTGTGCTTGTTATATGGGACAGTGAATAGATGGGAGATGGGGAGGTGTGTGCACTATGCGTGGGGTAGGAAATTTCTAGAATGCCTTGTATGGTCGGGAAGTCTGTTCAAATAGTGCTTTTATACTATAAAATTTATAGAATGTCAAACGAGGAATGATTGAATCATAACAGCACGTTATCCTATTCGGTTCGAGAAATATAGCGCAATTACGTAGCACACGAAATCCAGAACTGGAGTAGTAAAGAAACGTGGAGGTTTTTTCGAGGCAAGGCCAATCACCCCTTCCTCTGTCCCTCACCCACATCTGCACTGCCGTGGTATGTTTATTCTATCACGGTACATGTGTATCTTGGAATGGGGCAAACAATGTGCCAAAGTTACCCCAGTAGTCGAAATCGGGTGACAATGGAGGGACTGTGTGGCTTTTTGAGGGTTAGGTCAGTCGAAAGGTTTTGCTCCGTGCACGATTGTCAAAGGGGTCATTATATGTTTCGGTCGGACGGTTGTACTCGCATTGCTTTGTCATCTATTTAACCAGATATGCTTGGTGTCCACATACGCATTTTCCAGCATATTGGACTTGTTTGCCACCAGCACAGCTATATATGTATGACTGGCCAATGACAGCTAGTAATTACGGTTGGAGGGGGAGGGTTACCATACGTTTCTAACGTCGCTGCAGGGCACTCTCATTACACGATGCAGCCATTATTATTAGGGTGTCGTAAAGTGGCAGAACGGCTTTGCAAATCGATACGCTTGGAACTTTCGCATCCCCCTCACCCCTCTCTCTTTCTCTCTTTCGTTCGCGCTCTCTCTCTCTCTCTCTCTCTCTCTGTTTTTACTCTCTCTTAGTCTCTTTCTTTCTCTCACGCCCCCTCTCTCTCTCGTTCTCTCCTTTCGCCCTCTTCCTCCTCCCCTTTTCTCACTTTCTCGATCTCCCTCTACCTCTCTCTTAGTCTCTTTCTTTCTCTCACGCCCCCTCTCTCTCTCGTTCTCTCCTTTCGCCCTCTTCCTCCTCCCCTTTTCTCACTTTCTCGATCTCCCTCTACCTCTCTCTTAGTCTCTTTCTTTCTCTCACGCCCCCTCTCTCTCTCGTTCTCTCCTTTCGCCCTCTTCCTCCTCCCCTTTTCTCACTTTCTCGATCTCCCTCTACCTCTCTCTTAGTCTCTTTCTTTCTCTCACGCCCCCTCTCTCTCTCGTTCTCTCTTTTCGCCCTCTTCCTCCTCCCCTTTTCTCACTTTCTCGATCTCCCTCTACCTCTCTCTCGCTCTCTTCCTCCATCTCTCTCTCTCTCTCTCTCCCGGTTGCCCTATAGCTACTAGCTCTTTATTAGAGGTTGCTGACCAGCGTACGCCTGTCCTGCCATAGCTAGTTGCTTTTCTGAATGTTATGAGGCTGCGGGCTCGTTGCTTTGCTATTATAGCCTATTATGAGGCGGCAGTGATCAGCGAAGCATGGTTAACAACCGCAACCGTGACCTCATGCATCCCTCTTGTACCTTGCTCCATCATCGGAAAACACTTCCTCATTTTATGGTAAAGATAGGGTAGCAATTACGCAGTGCGTTTCGCGCTGTTGCTCTCTCCGAGAAATTACACGTGTAACCGAGGGTCAGTTCCCAGATTTCACGAGGGTCTGTGAAGGAGAAAATAGGTTGAGAGCGCAAAGCACCGAGAAGGAACCACAAGATATGAACGTCTCTTATCGTATTGTATTTTATCAACGGCTGCTACAGCTGAATACCAGTTCGTTGCTGTCAAGTAGTATTTTTTCGCACCACTGTTCGGTTAATACAATAATCGCATGCCCCAACAATCCAGCCTATTTGTGTTACCTGGCCTCAATGCCCATCTCTGTTATTTAGACGTTGGTGTTCACGCATAGGTACAGGCTTTTCTGTTTTCAGAATTACTCTTTGTGTTGAGTAGGACCTAATCTTGATCGCTCCTCCTCGTCTCCATGCAGTAAATCTGAGGAGGAAATCTAGCTATTCACACAGACACCCACGCTAATCATTGGGTGTATCGCGTGAGCACGCCCACCCAAAAGAGCATTATACGTGGCGGACTTTAACGATGATTGGGATGAAACCCTATTTTATACGAAACCCATGTGGCGTGTTTCATTGTGGACTGCGTCCACCGTCAGAGTTTACCAGAGACTACTCAGACTAGACCACCTGAATACAACCCTCCGGCGCCATCCCCAGGACCAACCTTGTTTAGGAAAAATTACAAGGATATCTGCACCTAAACACTATGGAATCAGGTGTTATGAACCTAGGCATCCTAATCTCATGTTGGATAAACAGCGATACAAACAGGAGCGGTGTCTAATGTCTGTATAGTAGTTCCTTATTAGCCTTTATTAATTTAGTGCGTTTTTGTGTGATGTGGGTTAACAGAGGGTTCTGATTGGGTGGGCACCTCTAAATCTAGGTGAACAGTAAATGGACCATTTTTATCTTCTCGCTAAATATCTCCATTTCTTACTAACTTATGTTAATGAAACGCTAATCTTACTGTTTCCGCACGCATGCTACGTAAAATTCGGCATAAAAATCGGGGGTGGGGGAACTAAATGCGTGGTAATTGGTGAAATAATTAGGCTTTTTCGCGCAAGGATAATTTCTAGACGGAAATCAGGCGTCACGGCAGGCGGTCAAAACGCCACAAAAAACTTTTTCGCGCTTCTACGCTAAGCGATCATTCCACGCTTCTCGCTAATATTATATATAAACTCCCCCATTGGGAGACCATCTTACGGTACCGATAGCATCTCTCGCCACGGCGTCGTCTGGACCGTGTTGGCAGCATCGCACATTAATCCCATCGTGTCTCTCATCTGTCATGCGATGCGGCCCCACCCTGAACATCTTTATCTCGACTGCCGAGATACTCGTTTCAGAGAGCTGAGCCGCGGCTGCCTGTCGTGAGTGGCATTCCAATGCTTCCAATGCCATTCCAATGCGGGTACTCCCTCCTATTCATTGCTGTACCCGGAGAGACTGCAGTCAAACGGAGGCGAGGGTGTGGGGCGTAAGACGGTGGCTGCAAGCTTTCGTTGCCAGTTTGATAAAGGGCGTGTGCTAACATGCAGTTATCATGTAAAATGTTCGTAAATGAGTGGAGTTTGCCAAATGCTGTAATATATTCGTGTTATGACGTAAAGAGAACATTTATTAGCAGCAGGAGTAAATGAGTAAGCAGGTGTGTAAGTGTGTGTGCGCGCGCATGCTTACGTTTGTAAATGTGCGTGAGCGTGCGTGTGTGTATGCGCGCGTGCATTTTGTTATGAAGTACCTATTCATTGTGTATTTAATCAGACAGGTTACTGTGCATATAACAGCACGCGTGACACACACACACAATGAGATATGTGTGTTACATAATGTTGGCTGAGGAGTGAAGTAGGTTAAAACCGTGCATCGTTGTACATTGTTACGTAAGTAGAAATGCCAAGTGTAGGTATTTGGGTCAGCCGAGATGAGAGTCACTTTTGGGGAGAGGCGTCGGCGAGGTTGAAAGAACTGGTAACGCCGTTATCTTGGGTGTTATTATGCCACTTTTCCTCCGGTTATGTGACAAGCTTAGCTAACTTCACTAACGGCCCTTAACTTCTCTGCGCGTATATATACCTGCACCCACGAAATCCTGTCATCCGTTTGCTAAAATTGGTGGTAACGACCGCTTTAAGCCGTTTTTTTAGTAATATTCGATTAATATAAAAAAAATCGTCGTAAAACGTATTTGATGCCACACTAAAATGTATGCATGTTTGCCCGATCACAACACAATACGTCGCTTCTGTAATGAACTTTACTCTACCGTTCTGTACGTACTTCCTATACGTGTGCATCAAGAGTAGATAATATAACATTATTATGTTATATTATATAATAACATATATTATGTTATATAATAACATATAACACATGTTATTATCTACTCTTGGTGTGCATCCATTGATAATTCATGCCTACAGGCACGCGCACATCCACGTGTGCATGCATGCATGGCCGGCAATGTACGCGAACTATTACCGACAGCGCTTTGTATACCCGTCTCGATATATACAACACCACGTCGTATAATTAATGTCGCCAGCATACTCGATACATATTTTCGCCGGTAATTTGTACTTCCAGGTAGTTGGCGTTGGTGACGCGCAGCAATCTGTTACACCATCTGCATGTTTTCGCTTGCTAATGCTATACGATGTTGCCCTCCAATAGTATTTCGGGAAAGTCGATAGAAAGACCTGCTGCCGCATATACAGTAGATTCTCTTACTTATTATTCCAGCTCGGCAGCCGTCTTTCCAAACGTTGTGTTCTAGACTCAGGATATCAATTGACAGTTATGAGCAATAAAAAACACCTCACCTCATCTAAACCTCGTAACGTCACATTGACGTGGAAAGAAATCTCTCTTATGTTTATTTTTGTCATACTCGACTGGCGTATTGCTATTTTCGTAGCCGATAAACCAGTTTAGTGGGCAAAACTAGCTGTGTTACTTGTTGGCTGCCAGTGGATGCGCAGGCTGGTAAAACCTCAGTAACAATGCTTATACGTCACAGCTTTTATCACCTTAAGTGCATTATAATGTAATTACCTGTGTACAGCTTTAATTACCTTAATTACCATTAACGGTAAACCATAGCTGGTGCAGTCTCTGATCACCTTCATCTTAGAGGGGTCATGTGACGTTTTCATTCCATTTTCATTTTCGTGTTGCACCTTTCACACGTATACATTTAGAGACATTACATTCATTTGTATCCAACCTATCGCAGTGCGGTGAATAACTTTTAAATTCGATACTTTTTACGTGCGTGCGCCATACTATGCGTCAACTAACAATTCTTGCCGATTTTATATGCGCCATGACGTAATCGTCTCCTGCGACTGTTTCAGACGACACACATCGCAGACATGCTCGAAATCGATGGACATAAGCGTTACCTGCCGCCGCCGCCGGGGCGCGAGGGCGGGGGCACGCTGCCGCACCGGCCGCCAGGTGGCAGCGACTACTCGAACCGCGTGCGCGGCCACTCGGACGACATGCACGAGTGGTCGATCTACCGGCAGAACATCAACGCCGGCTTCGTCGACAACGCGCTGCGCAACAAGCGCACGCGGCCATACCCGTATGGCGAGTTCCGCCTCGACCCGACCACCATCTCGACGCTCATCCACGCGCAGAAGGTCGACTCAAAGCTCGCCGTGTCGCGCGGCGACGGCGTCGACGCCGACATGCTCATAAACTTTGGGCTGCCGCGCCCCGGCGTCGGCCGCAGCCGCTACTACTCGACGGACGTGATCCAGGGCGGTGGCGGGGGGATGGAGGAGAGCAACCTGCGGCGCGCGCGCAGCCACCCGGAGAACGTCGTCGTCGGCGACGGCGCTCAGGGCCGCGTCGCGAGCTCGCAGTACGACGTGCGGCGCGGCGGCGGCGGCGGCGGACGCTTGCCGGACGGGCGGCGCCCCCGCGCGCACAGCGTCGACGACATGCTGCTGGAGAAGGAGTACCGCTACTACGGCGATCAGCAGCGCGGCACGGCGAGCGCGTACGGCGGATTCACGCGCGACCGCTCGCCGAGCCCCGGCGGCCGCCTCAGCGCGCAGCGACGCACGCAGAGCGCGTACGGCGGCCTCGACGACGCCCGCCGCCAGGAAGCTGCGCGCGGCTCGCCGGACTACCGCAGCACGGCGAACCTGGTGCCGAACGCGGAGCCGATCAGCAACGCGTACGAGAAGCGGCAGCAGCACGACGCCGCCTTCGAGCAGACGAACGGCGGCGGTCGCTACGACGACTGGACGCTGTCCAAGGGCGCGGTGACGCCCGTGCCGATCGGCCGCATGTACGCGCGCAACGACTGGTACTGGGACAAGTACCCGCCAACGGGGGGATACGGCGTGTACGACATCGGCGACGTGCCGGACGCGCAGCTGTCGCAGTACCCGCACCTGCAGCTGCGCGACGTCACGTCCGAGGTGCACACGAGCAGCTGCTGCTGCTGCTGCAAGACGAAGCACGTCGAGCGCGCCCTCGACGGCATCACGTTCGAGCTGCACGGCGGCGAGCTGCTCGCGATACTCGGCAGCCCGCGTAAGTCTCGCCCACCCAGCCCCCAGCCAGCCCGCAGCCCTGCCTGTTTGTGCCGCGTGTAGTCTACATGCATGTACACAGGTGTGTGTGTGCTGTCTACATGCGTGTGCTGTCTACATGCGTGTATACAAGGGTGTGACATTTACACGAGTGTACGCAGGCATGTGACATTTACACGAGTGTACGCAGGCATGTGATGTTTACACGAGTGTATGCAGGCATGTGACGTTTACACGCGTGTACGCATGCATGTGACGTTTACAGGCGTGTACGCAGGCATGTGACGTTTACACGCATGTACGCAGGCATGTGACGTTTACACGCGTGTACGCAGGCATGTGACGTTTACACGCGTGTACGCATGCATGTGAGGTTTACAGGCGTGTACGCAGGCATGTGACGTTTACACGCGTGTACGCAGGCATGTGACGTTTACACGCGTGTACGCAGGCATGTGACGTTTACACGCATGTCGCAGGCATGTGACGTTTTTTACACGTGTACGCAGGCATGTGACTTTTACCGTTTACATGCATGTACACAGGCAAGCTCATGTACTGTTTACACACCTGTAAGCATGCGTGTACTGTTAATAAGTATGTAAGCATGCGTGTATTGTTTACACTAGTGTACACATGCACGTTTTGTACTCTTTCAACTCGTATATATGTACATTCTGTTCACAAATGTATACAAGCATATTCTGTTTACGAGTGTATAGACACGCATGCTTGCTGATCGAACTTTTTACATGTATAACTGCAATCCACAGCATATAAATATGTATGTTATGTAGCAACACACAAGTCCAATGACAACTCCTATACATGCAAGTACTGCAGACTAGTCTACTAACTCCCCTCATGCACTATCCCCGTGCACACCCACACACCAAGTTGCTAACTGACCGGGAACCCGTTGTCAGAAACGAAACAAGTAGTTCTAAAATGATTAGAAGTGCATGGATAAGTCTGAAATGCCGTTACTTTTTCACGTCGCTTCCCTACGACACGAGGTCATAACTATCCACGATGTTTCCTGACAACGAGCCACAGCCTGACAGCGTCTCTGCTACGCTCTCTCTACCTCCGCAGATTCGGGCAAGACGGCGCTACTTGAGATGATGTCCGGTCATCGGCCGCCGGGCCTCAGGTATTTCGGCGAGGTGGTCGTCAACGGCGTGCTGCTGCAGCTGAAGCACCTGCGCGAGACGGTCGCGTACGTGCGCAAGGAGGACCTGCTCATCTCCTACCTCACCGTCGAACAGTTCATCACGCTCTTCTCGCGGCTCAAGTACTCGCGCAGCTCGTCGGCCGGCGAGCGCCGCAAGATGGTAAGCCGATCGCGCGCGTGCGCCGCTGCTGGTGCTGCGTGCTCACTGCCCTGCCCTTGTTCCAGCCCCACACTGCTGCTCCGATCCCAGCCCCACACTGCTGCTCCAGTCCCAGCCCCCACACTGCTGCTCCGGTCCCAGCCTCCACACTGCTGCTCTAGTCCCAGCCTCCACACTGCTGCTCCAGTCCCAGCCCCCACACTGCTGCTCCAGTCCCAGCCCCCACACTGCTGCTCCGGTCCCAGCCCCACACTGCTGCTCCAGTCCCAGCCCCCACACTGCCCCGCCCCAGCCCCCACACTGCCCCGCCCCAGCCCCCACACTGCCCCGCCCCAGCCCCCACACTGCCCCGTCCCAGCCCCCACACTGCCCCGCCCCAGCCCCTACACTGCCCCGCCCCAGCCTCCACACTGCCCCGCCCCCTGCCCCCACACTG